TTCTTGTTTTGTACATTTTTGAGGACTTGCCACTGAAATGATAAGGCATTGCCCCATCCATCATATCAATCTTTACCAGTGACAACCAGTTTTCAGATTATCATTCTGAGAAACAAGTCCCAAACTCTTTTCCAATCCAAACATAGAGACGTATTAATCTTAAGACTGCAACGTAATTTATAAATGATTTTAACAAAGATCAAGACCTCTGTTAGTACGATCTCATGCATTTATATTTAGGCTTTTAATTATGTAACCTTCTCATCTAAACACATAAGAAAAAATACAGAAATGCAAAGAAATTTGAGGACCATAAGTGTCCAAAACCATGGTGCTCCTGACTTTCTGAAAGTCTGTCAAAGTTTTGCTTTGAATATTGGTTGCTTCTTCACCTATTTGTTGTTGGACTTGAGCATTATTATATTTGCTCGTGAATCTTGTAATTAATCATATATAACTAACCTAAGTATTGAAGTATTGGCATAAACCAGTCTTAGGTAGACACATACAAAAGGAAAGAAAGAGGAATTTTCTATTTTGTATTTTCAGGGAATTTGTTATTTGTTATAAAACAAATAATTTGCCATGATTCATTTGCAATAGAAATACAATTGTTTTGCAGAATATTTAAACTTTCAAAGGGGTTGATATATATATATGTATACAGCTGAAATTTTTTTTAATTTTCTTGCAAATAAAAAAAGAAATGTATAGGTTTAGGTATTCTCAAAAAGGTGATATAAGCACACTTATAGACAAATGAGCAACGATTTAGCCCTGTCCACACTGAATTCACAGAGGGTTAGCAGGAGCAGCGCTCCAGCTGGGGTTTAGAGATTCAAATCAAACATGACAGATAGACACACACACATGCAAACACAGACTTACATAAAATCTAGATGTAACCACACCATGCCCAGAGACGCCATGTACAGAAAAACACGGCATCAATTATCACATCAACGTTCAGCCTAACAGCACAGCAGGGTTTATGGCAGGCAGGCAGGAGCCAACAACCCCAATATTCCCAACTCATTGATCGATTCCCCCATCCAAAACAAACAAGCTGATGCTGATGAACTGTGATCCGAGGAAACTCCAAAGTGCTTACAATACTTATTGTGGTCTTCAGTCCAAATTCAGGACTAAGACCTGGGGACGAACCAAGGTTAGAAGCCAATAGTGTTGCTTGCATTGCACTATGATATCATTAGACCACCTACTCTGCCGCAATCAACCCTCCCTTTCCCTCCATTGCCACCCTGACCTCCAATCTAGATTTTCGCTCTTGCTCTCTGTTCTCTCTTCTCACTGCACTCCCGACTGTTCATTTTGTGAAATCGGCCTTCACTCTAAAAACAGCCTGCATGCATTTGAGTGGCAGAGGCAAGGCAGGGGTCTCCATTTAGCTCCTTCCTGTTTAAGGGAGTCAATATGTATGCCCCTCCAGGCCATGGCTCAGTTTGCCATGTGTGAGGCTTTTTAAGAGCTTCACGCATTGGCAGCGCTAACACTGCAACTACAAAGAATCTGCTCAAGATGCTAATATTTCTAAATCTCCCTTGGCTTGTTTGGACAAAAACATAAATGAATGTTAAATACATGCCTGGTCTACTCTGGTTTTATTCAGCATGTAGCTGCAGCAGAGTATAAACTATAAGAGAAAGAACAACATTGAAGCTGGTCAAACTTGTGCTCTTTATTCCTAAATACATATAGTCTGTTTGTTCTAATCAGAGCTCAAAATCAGTAAAATGTCATGTTTATTTCGGAGAAAAGGACTGCACCATTTCTTGTTCTTGCAGCACACTCACACACAGTGTATTAGTACAGCTGGCAGTCAGGACCTCAGGCTCACTAAGAGGTCCCTAAATACTGAATGCTTTTCTTCCTGTCACAGCATGGGGTTGACAACTAACTCTCTATATGTGCACCTGTGTGTTGAGAGTGTATGTTTTCAGCTGGCACCTCTCCACCTTGGCAGGAGTGTGTCTCCTGGCACTAACAGGAACAAATGCCCCTTTGGGATTTGGCTCGGTCTTTTTAAACTCCAATGTGGGAGTCGGCTGGCATTCAGATGTGTCAGTAGTCCAGGTGAATGAGAAGTCTGGTCATTATCACCGCTGTAGTTGGTGAAACACGGCCAAGTCAGCAGGGAAAAGGGTGACAGGAGGGTGAAGGAGGAAGCAGCAAATGGCAGAGTGTGCTTGTAAAGTAAAAATAAGACCTGTGTATTTTTGGGTGAATCTGCAAATGCTTTATCCATAACACAGCACAGTTTTTTTTCAAACTGTGCTGTTTTGAATACAGTGAAATCTGTGCTTAAATTAAATGAAAAATGCTTCACAATTAATATCTTTCTTCTTTAAAACACAATATGCAAACAGTTTCTTCAAGGGCTGACATGTTATCAGCCCTGTGGAATAAAGTCAAATTGTGCGTCTGTGTGTTTTCCCAGCCTGTCTTTCCTTTGCCATGTTGTGGTCCTCCACCCTGTGTGTGGTCCTGGTGTGGTTCGAAATCATTTCCATTTAAATATATCTGTGGTCCTCAAAGCAAACCACCAATGGGATCCACTCCATTGGAGGTAATACCGAAAGCTTTACCCTCTGTGTGACGGCTTTTGTGTGTGCGTGTCGTATTTATCATGCAAGTGTTAATGCATGTTCTAGTCTGTGAGTGCGTGACCCGATGTTTGAATGTGGGAATATGTACAATTCACTGTGATCTATCTTCTTGCATATTGGCAAAGGGCTATCTTTTATCCAGCCAAGACAATGCAGACAAACAATGTTGAACAGTGTGAGTGCTGATGGATTAGCCTGTTTTGAATTGCAGGATCCTTTCAGGGCATTGTGTTTAAATGATCAGTGACTTTTCTTTCAGGGGTTCTTTCCCACCTCAAATAGCAGTGCAGTAGGATTACTAGGAGGGAATGCGGATGCCTGTTAGGAAGTGGGTCTCTTTTGAGAGGCATATGGGTGGAAGCTCACTTGTCCAAGTTCATTTTTGCATTGCAGTAAAGCTCCAGTTTGCACTTTTTTTCTTTTCCTTTGTAATAAAGTAACTGAGCATTTGTCAGTCTATTACCTATTTATTGATAAACTATATGCAAAGGCCAATTTCCAAATTAGTTTTTTCATTTCTCAGCATTTTAGCATCTGAACGGGTCGTGTATCTCCTATCAGCATGCACACAAAGGGGCTCACAGAAAATTGAGATGAGAATTTATCACTCACAGGAACGGGACAGGTGGTAACAGGGTTGCCATTGTGGCCAAAATAACTATACCAAAAGAAGATTAGAGAAAATTACTTTCCCAAGGCTGTCTTTTGTAAATGCACTCTCCCATAACTCATCTGGCAAACAGGAAGGCATCACAGACCAGATTGTATAAGTGTTGACCCAAAACAGCTTCACTCTCTATGCAATGACAAATGACCCACACGCAAGTCAGAGAGTGTTTGAACCAAAGACAGGCGGAACGGGGAATTATTATAGTCACAGAGGGGACTAAATCGGACAAACAGCCGTTATCAATCGGATATTTAGGACATCGAGAGTGACCTTTTTAGCGGAGTGGGAAGATGGGCTTGGTGAAATTGGCTGGTTAAGAAGTGGGGAAAGAGAGGGAGATGAAGCATGCCCTGTTATTGACCACAGGGACCTTGGTGTTGACATGTGGACCACAGCAGAGTTTCCTCTGGCTAGCAGTGACAGGGTTTTGAAAAAATGTTCTGTTGCTTTTTCATTCAAACAACAGTATAACTTATGCAGCTTGTTTGTGTCTAGAATGGGAATTGTCAGAAAATGCGTCAGGATTGTTAGTCTTTATTGCTAAACAAATACAGATGTATCTGGTGTTTGGTCTTCAGTTCAAGTGTCTTGGTTTTTTATTGTTTCTCAATGTGTTGGGGAGACTACATGTCTGACGTGTATATTGATGAAAGAATAAGGAACCACTGATATTCACACACAAATAGAAGGATGTCTATGCTCTAACATACAAACATACTCACTATGGATCTTTTTATACGAGGCCAATAGCAGGCAATATTTCATAGCAGCAAACTGCTTGGCATTTATTATCTATCCATCAACTAAACAACAACAGGCCAATTGGAATCAAAATTAGTGGTGGTTGTCCGAATAACTTTTTAGTTAAGTCTATTGTTCTCTTCACTGCATTTTTCCCCAACTAAAAACTTTGAAAAAACACACCTTTCAACAATACTTCAAATTTTAAACAGAATTTTATTTCAAAAGTACACAAACAGGACCAATATTGTTCCATAAGGCAAAGCTCAAATTTTAACAACTCACATCGGGGGTCTCATAGTCACAGTTTATGCGTATCACTTGCAAATTATAAATAAAACTTTTCTTTTCTCAATGTACTGTATATACTAGAACTTTTTTTTCAACATGAAAAGAAGAAAATATTAGACAAACATTTCTTGATAACCCCATCCACATGAAAACATCTTCATTTTTCAGTGTTATATTTTAATCTTCATAATCAGTATTGTCTATGAAACGTCAGGGAAAGGTGTATCTGTCTACCTCCACATGGGTGTTTCGTGGCTCTACTGCCCAGTTCCAAGCTCAGCTACAGACCCCAGCCCTTAGCCGCTACCTGAAAAGACTGAACATCGTGGTGTTAATGTTAGTGGATTTTGCTACCCCACTCGTGCTGTTTTAAGCTACTAAGTGCATCGTTTGCACTGCATTTGTCCAAATTAAATTTGATTAAAAAAATAATAATCTGTGTGTGGCTCCTGTGATATCACAAAAGCACCTTAATGACTATTATTTAGCATATTTAATACTATCCGTTGTCAGTCCTTTCAAATATGTACCTTGGGCACAGATACTTTGAGGAGTTGGAATTAGACAAGATTTAATGTGGAGCAGAAGTGTTATTTTCTGTGGTATTGTTTGCGTGCCGAGCCAAGCCAATCCAGGTAAAGCTCTGGGTGGAGAGGCGTGGCCAGCTCTCGTCACCTCGGGAGCAGCGCCACAACAATGCAGAGCAGTGTTGCCGTAAGACATGGGGTGAGAGTCCCGGCTCCTCCACACTCCATCGAGTTCTCCTGGAGACAAAGTATTTCATGTTAGTCAGAAAGTGTTTTTTGTGTATGAGGTGTATGCATTTGTGGGGGAAATACCTCTGGGTGGAAAGGGTGACAGGTGTCTGGGCGCCTCCTGTCTTTTTGCATCTTAAGTCTCTCACACTTTAGAGATTCATTATGTGCAGCTGTAGTTAAGGCAATAATGGACGAACTCAGAAGGATCTGTTTTTTAATATTGTTCTTGTTTAAAGAAAAGAATGCATATCAATGAGCGCACAATGCAATGAGGTTCAAATAAAGGGCAAGGCAGGAAATATCTTGAAAAAGCTAAGTTTGAGAAGAGCTTGATGTTTTTTTTCTTTGCATAGCAACGGGATAGCAGGCTTTATTCTGCACTCCACAATAAAATAAACACGAGAGGAAATGTATAAACAGCATAAAGTTTCAAAGAATTGCATGCTGAGGGAGTCTCCAGCAAGTTTTGCGGTTAAAATCTTTCTGTCTAAAGCCTTTTTGGGCTGGCTGTGTCATCTATTGATCATGATTCCATCACAATGTGAGAAGTAGCATGGTTCAGACTCACTCACAAAGTCCTTTGAGACAGTCTATATGATGGAATGGTGCCTCTGTGCGCAAACCTCAGATTTTGTCCCCACAGCAATATAATATCTTTTGCCCGCAAGATGTGGAAGGAAAACAATGTTCTGAAAGTTTTCCCACACATTAAAAATATTCTATATCATTCCCATCCTAGTTATAACATGTGGATACGCACTGGCAACCATAATTCTTGCAGCGAAAATCAGAAGATGGAGGAGAACAGTACCGTTTTAATAAAAACTTAATAAGATAATTATGGTAAAAGGCTTTCAGGGTAGGATGCATCATGTTTAACTCTTTGGCTTTGATTTACATCAACCTGCTCCTATTTCCCCACTCCATCTGGGATAGCCACAACCTCATTCCAGGCACCACTTCTTCAATGTCTGAACATCAAAGGATATACATAATCTCGATGGGGTCCATGGTAATTGGCTCAAACATGCTGCAGTCACACTTGCTGTCCACCACCACCATAAAAAGATTACTGCTGGGGATCTGCTGAATCACAAAGGACCTGGCGATCATAGCACAGATAGTGAGAGAGAAAAAAAGATGAGGAAAAGAATTGTAAGAGGAAGAAGTGAAGAGCAAAACTGGCAAGTAGTCGAGGTGCATGGGCATGATGTAAATGTCCATGTTCACATACGATCCATGTCAAGGGGATGAAATCACTGGCTGTCGATGAACACACAGAGACACAGACAGACACACACACACCTCTAATTCTCTAAATCCATGTTATACACTGTCCAGGGTGAGCGCCAATGAAGTGTGGCTGAATGTAAAACACTCCAGTGAGAGCCAAATGTGAACCACACTTTTGTGCACACAGCTTTCCATGGATGTGTTTTACTGACCTGAGAGATCAGGCCTTGTCTCAGCCTCCTGCCCGGTGATTTATGTCCACGGACAAGTTTTATGAAGAAGAGAGCTCGTAAAGAGGATCTTTTCTTTCTATCACCCTTTCTTTCTTGAGCTCTTGCTTCTCTCTCCCCACCTCCTCTGCTACAGCTGGATGATTTATCAAATTCAATGAAGCATTTGTCAGACCCAAATGAAAAAAACAACCTGTTGCACACAGATGTGAAAACAATGTAAAAGGATACACTTTCTAAACTCTTGTTAAGGAGGACAAAGACAAAGATGGCAAGACCTGACAAATTAAAGCTGGCCTGATATCTACAGTAATATCTCCATCATCATTAATTTAATTCTATGATCACTTTAACCTGACCACTAATGTGCAATCCTTTACGAGTGCTGATCCATCACACCCTAATACACACTCAGCCCACGATGAGTAACAAACCAATTCAGCACATAGGTCAGCCCAGTGTCAATTAGAGTCAGTTAAAATCTGGTGAGACTTTGTTAATCCATTCTCACCCCAACATAGTTCTGGGCCAGTCAAGTTCTACCTGCTGACAGTAAGCAGAGCAAGCATTCTTTGAGCAAAGACTTGTGATTAGAATAGAAGTACCATACAGCCTATTAATGCACACACACACTCTTAGACATATGCAAGTATATTTCCAAGATGCACATATACACATTGATGTACATCAATGCAGGCTCTCTTCCATAAACTTGGATGATGGAGGCAACTTGGTTCTTGACGTGGCCTCACTGCACTGTGGCCTGTACAATTTGGCCAGGAGGGAAAACAAAAACATGCAACGTCTGAGAAGAAGTAAAGCATGACACACAGAGACAGATCTTTAAATAAAATGAACATGAAGCACAGAAAAGCACGCACACAAAGTTGCGGAGACAGAGCATGTTGTGTGAACCTCTCAGAATATATAATCACACAACTGGCAGCTGAACTTGATTAAACAGATTAAAGAATATGCCTTTGTTATGTCCAATTTTAGCTGTGCTGATGTACGTAGGTAAGGGCATGAAACTATGTCAGGAAGTTATAAACACAGAATTCCTTTGACTTGAATGCTTGCGTGCTAAGCTGTTCAGAGGCAGGTTTTCTAACATTTTTCTTGAAAATTCACTCAGTGTTCACATTCAATGACGAATGTTTACATTTCTAAAAGGATGGCATGACTATAACTATAACACTCACCGTCAGGTTTTGAAAAATATTTGACACAACTTTTGTGAAAGTTACTGTGTGCAGTTTGATGATCGTACATAATTTCATATATATGGACTTTAGGATAAAGACCATTATTTTTCTAACATGATCATTTTATAACATTTCACATTATTTTTAAAATTTAGTAAATGTTTAGCCCTAGTATAAACTGGTAAAGACATTACTTGCTTAAATAATACAGGTTATGAAAATCATGAAACATGATAGCATGATGAGGCTATAATACAGACATCCCTCTATTTAGCGTGCACAAAATAAAACAGAAAAGTCTTCACTCAAAGCACTTAAAATTGTTTTTGAAAGGTGTTAAGAAACAAAATGTAACTTTATAACTAAACAGTACTGCATATTATAACTGTTAGAATAAAATATGTAAGATTATCTGTATTAAATATTTTATTAATCTGGAAAACATTTAACAGACTGAGTGCACGTGCATGTGCACCAGCTGAAGCAGTCGTTCTCTTGAACTTCCAACCTCTCTGTTTTCATGACAACTGCCATGGTTGAAAGAAGAAAGTAAAAAGGTCCATGTGGAGTGAGAGATCTGTGTTTTCAAATGGACAAATAGTCCACTTGAAGGCAGTCTCCAACTGGAGCAACATTTTTTGTTTTGATTCTCTTGTTTCAGAAGAGAAGCAAAAAAAAAAAAGACCCAACAACCCCAAAACACATTACTGGAGGCCCACTCCCAATATTCGAGTGCTTAACCTATTACAGCCTTCACTACATTTTAACATTTGTAATGCTTTGTCACACCAGTGAGGAAACAATGGACATGTGCAAATAATGACAGACATATGCACACATCGAGTCAAAATACTGTAAAGAGAGGTTTAACAGGCAAGGGCTTTCAGTATATTTCCTACAACACAAAGCATATGCACGTGGCTTAATGAAAATATGAAAGAAAAGCCCCAGTCGGTCAGGAACATAAAGCAGATGTTTATCACCAATATCCTCTTTTACAAATTTGAGGTATAAAATTTCCACATAAATCAAATAGAAGTTACATTTTTCTTTGTCAGATTTGTTGTGTTTAACTGGAAGGTGACATGTTTTTAGAAGCACACAGCCCTGTCTGCTCATTCACTTCTTGTGGCATCACTGCAGAGGCAGACTTCTGCTGGATGTGGATATGTGGTGTTAGGGTTTTCAGAGGGTTCTGCTTCTTTTTTTCTTCTTGTTTTATTGTTTTGGGGTCTGACTGCATCAATAACCAAGTTTTAGAGCTGGTACTCAGGGCAGTGGTTACCCTGATGACCTCGTGGGGGTGTACTGACAGCAGACACACAAGGAAAACACACACACACACATTCACACACATAGATATACAGATTTCTGAGCTCCCTGGCAGCTCCACAGCTGGGAGCAATGAAGGGCCCATTGGATGGATCCAGAGAACACCCCACAATTGCCTGACAGAAAATCCCAAATTGTTAATGGGGACCACACTCATTTTCCCATTTTTAAAGGAAGCCTTTTTTCCACCTCACTCCCTCATCTTTGAGTGCCTCGTATTTCAAACTGCCGGAGGACAGAGTTAGTGTCTACATGTGTTTGAGTGTGGGTCTCTGATAGACTGACTGGATAAAAGTAGGTTCAAAAGAAAAACAAATGTTTTAAATGTGTTTCCCATCAGCGGAAATTACATAGATAAAATATTGTGGGATGAGCTTGCGGAGTAATTCATTTGTTGTCGTTAGCTTCTTTCATGATACACAGTGGATGGCTGATAAACAAAAACCCTAATAGTTAAAAAGATCGATCTTTAGATTAACATTGGTGAAACTTTGATACAGGTTGTGTGCATCATACTTGAAGCAGCCATCACAGTCGATGTTGCCAGTGTTCTCTTTGATGGTTCTCTCTGAGACGAAGGCTGGGTACTCTGTGTCACATGGTACCTGCATGGACCGACCTATCCTCTGGGCTAACGCAGGGGAGGAGGGTGGGGGAGGTGCAGAGGAACAGCAGAAGGAAGGAAAAAGGCAGGAAGAAAAAGGAAAATAAAGAGAGATGGAAAAAGGAAGAGGGTAACAAAACACTGAGTCAAAACTGCTAGAGAAGTTACACAACACCAATTAGAGAGTCCAGTTAATCACATAAAATAGATATTGAAACACAGAACAAGTTTTACACACAACATCCATACAAATAATACACGAGCAGAACAGAATACAGCATTTCTGCACCAGTGCAGACTTTCATTCTCTTTGAAATACTAAAGTTAATCTAGGACGGCCATTCTCAGCATTGCCTGACCACTCCTGCCACCCAGAGGTATAAAACAATGCTACAAGAAGGTTTTCCGGTACGGGTGAACATCCAAACTCAGTTATTCAAAACTAGACGACAGTTTTAATACTCAGCTTTATCAGAATCCTCCTCTCAGTTTTAGAACACAGATTTGAAAGATGGTGGATTATGTGCGTGATTGGAACAGAGCGGTCTAATTACGACGAGTCAGCAGTGCAGGGTTGTTGTGTGGGTGTGTGTGTTGCATATGAACTATATACATGTATAAACGTCTGGGATTAGTTCAGCCTGAAAAGTTGTATAGATTGGGTTACGGGCGGCTAAAGTTGGGGTGTTTCGCCTGTGTGTCACAAGCCTGTGTCTCTGTTGTAAAAAGATATAGAAAGTGCTACTAAGACCTGAGGCTAGCCAGCTGTGAAATTGTCTCGACTGCTTGGCGAGCAGCGTTGCCCAGCTTCACTTCATTCAGGATTAAAGCTTGCAAGGAAAGCAGTTTATAGATGTTCATTCTGTGTTTTTCTTTTCTCCCTCACTCTCTAACATTCTCTGAATATTTTATTGTTTTTTTCCCACAATTAATTCTACAACATAATGCTGCTTAGAGAGGCTTTCATTCCAGACAGGCAAATAGTATTCAACACTTCATAAAGCATGAGGACTCAACGGATTTGCAGCCTGGTAGTAATAACCTGAGAATGTGCCTGAGAGACATAAAACCAGATAAGATGAGATACATAGAAATAATACGTTTTTCTACAATTATATGCAACATGTTGCCTCACTACAATCAAATGGGCATATCCTACCAGACTAGAAAAACTTTTGGGTATAAACTAATGTAGACACATGGTAATACATTTGTATGTACACATACAGGCACTGTCAAATACATCTCTATAGGTCCAGTAATAGTGTAATTTTCAGGTTTTTGGAATAAGGACAGGTTATCTTTATTTGTGTAGATTATGATTCCTAATCGTCTTACTGCAGTAGGAAAAGGTAACCTAATGATATAGAACTAAGGAGATAAGGTTTGGTTTTGGTGCATTTATCCAGTGTCTGGTTATTAACTCTAGTTATTGTCAGTGTTGCTCCTGACTTCCATTTACATACCAATGTTGATTTTAAACATCTAAACACCTTTAAAAAATCTGACAATTCAATTTATTTCAAGCCGTCTTTATGAATATTTTTGGTTGTTCTTCAAAAGGATTTTTTTTTAAGTACATGGGAAAATAAGCATATTTTTAAATTATTATTTAAACAATTTTTTTTATCTTGAAATGAATCAGTGAAAAATCATTTATTTTCTTGCTGTTTTTAAACAAGCCTTTTTTATAAGTACTGACTGAATACAAATAAAAACCCATTTTATAACAAAAAATAAGTAAACACACACACACACACACTGTATATATGGTTCTTATAAGGAGAACAAGAGGGAACGCATATCTTAAAGAGCTCACTCTTACCTTTCGAGGTCAGGTCACAGTTCCACCAGCTGTACAAGTTGAATTCTACCAGGAATCTAAATATGAAAAATCAACTTGAAAATACACTCTTCTATTTCTGTAACATGTACTGTTACACTCTGCTGCAGTAATGCACTGTTTTTGGGGAAGTTTCTCAAAGGCAACAACATATCACACCTGCATACTTTTTTACATGTAACAAATAAATGCATATGTATGTATATGTTTATATATGAAAGGGTTCGAGTCTCAGGGGAACCAGGACTTTTCTGTGTGGAATTTTCAAGCTCTCCCTGTGTCTGTGTGGGTTCTCTCCGGGTTCTCCGGCTTCCTCCCACCGTCCAAAACCTGCATGTTAGGTTGATGGGACATTCCAAATTGCCCTCCAACAGTAAGCAAAACTGGATTTTTCTACGCAAGTATTTTTATATTAGTCTGAAAATGTTCAACTTTATGTCATGTGATGAATTCCAGTCATTGTCCAAATCACTACAATTTACTGTTTGTGTATATATATATATATACACAAAACTAAACACATACAACTAAATGCTTCTGTATGGATCTAAATGTGTGCGTATCTGAGTAAGAATTAACATTCTTATCTATTAAAAGTAAATAGAAAATTAAGCCCATAAGAAAATACTTTAAAATCCTCTTTTATCCCACACAACTCAATCTTCCCATGCTGCATTTTGTCACTGATGGACCACCCAGCAGGACTTACCAACAGCCACAATGCAGCTTTAGAGGGATACCCTCGTGACAGACAACATCAGGTAGCCATTATTGCTCATGATCATAGAGAATCTCATCAACATACTGTACTAACATGTCCTATGTGGCCACCTCGAAACAGGCACACAATTGATATACAGTGTCAAATAAACATACAACTAATCACAGAGCAAAGAAGCAAAAGTAGAAATCCCAAAACCACAGATATATTTTTAGCTTATGCTCTTACTAGCGAAACCGACCTTATCACAAAAACTCAATTCTTACATGACAAGCTCAGTCAGGATCCACTTCACAGCAGAGAAGAAAGCAAAGTAGGGCTAGAGAAAAGAAACAGGAGAAAACATTGGTTGGACATGGATCTATTGCGCTTTAATGTGACATTGTAACATGTAAATATGGAGGTTGGAGTGTGGCAGAAAATAGTTCATTTACATCCAGCAGTGTGTGCCCGCTGTCACTACTCTCTGAAAAGACCCAGCAAAGCGCTTGGTAGTCATAAAGAGTGACCCTGAGGAGGTAAAGATGGAGAGAGACAAAAAAGCAGAGAGTAACGCAAAAATACCAACATGTTTTTGTTTTTTTGTTAGTTTTTTTTAGTTAGGAACACATTCCCACATTCTCTTTGTTAACATATTTGTAAGAGCTTTTTGAATAACTGTCTTAAAGCTGAAAGAGACAGACCCATCGCTTCTATGACGGCTGCCTTACCTCCAAATAATATATTGGGCGAATGTGGGAAGAATGGGAAAGGAAAGCGAATGAAAGCCGAGAGCTTCCTGAGAGGGTCCTCAAAGTGATGTAGAAAAAAGGGTGTGTGTGCGTAAATTATTTTGGGGGATATTGGTGGGCTATCAGAGGATTTAAGGGCTTAGTGGACCCCGAGGGTGTGAGATTTATGTCTGTCTGGGTGAGGTTATTGCAAGGTGTTCTTACTCGCTCACACAACCATGCACTGGACATTCTTTGTTGTAGCCCTTGGAAAATGCATGATCTGTCTGATCGTTCTTGTGTGTGGGCAACTGTCCGAGCATGCCGGTAATGTCTGAGTGGGAACGCAGCTCGGGGTGATGTTCAAACCTCAGTCACAGTACTAATGACATAAAGCTGTAATACACCACCAGGAACCAATTAGTGCAAAGCCAGGCCACATAATGCTGTTAGCAGCTAACTTAGACCAAAGTAACATCTGTTTATGAATATGAGTGTGTGTTGCATGTTCAGTGTTTCTTATATGCGAGTGCATGAATATTCACATAAATTTCCTTTTCAAATGTTTGTTTGGAACAATGGATGATGCAAAAGTGGTTGAAAATGATTTGTCGTCAGGCTTGCAGTTTATGTCAAATGTAAATGAAGCCGTTTGATTTTTTTTTTTTAATCCAAACAAAAAACTGCACCTAAACACATTAACTTGCTACAGATGGCTCTGAGTTTAGAGAGATCTTACTGGATTCATTGGTTTTAAAACTGAAAGGCTTTACTTCAACTACACAAGTCATGTAATTCATTCGTCATAAGTCCTCCTCAGTCTTAAACAATCCATCATCATCAAACATTAAAGATTAAGACAAGCACTTTTTAGGCCTCTCTGTTTTCAAGGAGTGGCCTGCAAACTATTTGCTGTCAGCTTTTAAGGTTCATTCAATGGATAGAGAGGCGCTGTTGTTGACATGTGCCATGGTTTGTCATTGATCTTTAAACCAGGACATTATGGCAAGAATCTCCTCTCACATGTCCTGAAGGCAGATGTAAATGTTTGGTATAGACTTGCTACAGAGTTGGAAAAGTGGTTGTGTGCTTCTGTGCAATATAAATTCACACTTGTGACCATATAAAGATTCCACAAACTTCACATCATCCCGCAGTGACTCTATATTCAAAATACAATTTCTGTGCGCCTGTTCCTGCTTTTCTGCATTTATGCTCTGTAAAACTGAACTGGGAAAGGTATCCTCGTGGATTAAATTTCCAAATTAATTGCAGAATGTCGCCACCCACTGCTCCTGGCGTTTTCCAGGAGACGCGGCTTTATAACAAACACAGTATGTATGTCTACGTGCCCACTCGTGTGTGTGTGTGTGTGTGTGTGTGTGTGTGTGTGTGAATGACTTCAGGTTTTTCTTAATTCTTTTGTTTCAGGAAAAGATTTGCTCTAATCCCTTAATGGAGAACTGCACCGAGTGCAGGGTCGGAGTTCAGTGCTGAAAGGCTCAACTGTCAGCACGAGGGGAGGCATGCTCTCATTCTGTGGCCTGTCTGATATTATGCACATGTATTTACAAAGATACATATGCACACTTGTGAATACACTTGAGCTGCTGCTTCTCAGTATGTGCTCACACACGAGCAGTTTGAAATCCTTACCTCTTGAAAGAGCCCATCTGCAAAAGCTTACTCATTACGGCTCCTTCTGCTTCTCCAAAAAATGTTCCTGTCTGATAAAGAAAAGAGAGAGATTTTCTTCATTCAAACAAGCATTTAGAATTAAATTGTTTAGCATCAATTGTCTATAAGGTTGGAGACACTTGGAGGGTAATAAAATAACATATGTATTGTGGATATTGTCCATGATAAAACCTTTAATAAATTCACGGTAAAAAAATTATTGTATTGACGGTAGTGTGATTACTTTCGATCGGCCCGATGGCTCAAGCTTTGCTTTCCTTATAAAAATCATATTCTTAAATGACATTTTCAAATGGCTTTGATTGTTTTTTAAATGATAATCCGCAGGAATTATTGAAAGTGAGCAGTGACTGAAAGTTAAAAAATCACCCAAAATACTCTGTTGGGTACAGAGACATCGGAGAGGTGATTCACACCATGGACAAAAGTGAAAAATATCTGACCATTTGTAAGAAGGGCTTAACACGCTAAAAAAAAATAAAGTACTGTTAAAGAAAATTGTATTACTTTCACCAAGGGAGCTATGGATGGATTTGCATGAACATTGTACCAGGGGAGGAGCTTGGCTGAATTATAAATGGTTCATGTTCTGGTGTCAACCTGGATCAGAACCCAAGCGTGTCTTTGTTCATTTAGGCCAGAGGTACGTAACAGTATGTAATCTTAGATTATTTTCTATTTCAGATGTCATAACTCTACGTGTTTTAGACTATTTTCTAACACAAAACGGCCTGAAACGACACAGATTGGGGTTGACCTATGCCTCACCCCTTCTCATCAGAATGGATCTACTCCTGACCTTACTCTCCTGACACTTTCAATACGACACTCTGATGGATGACTCATGGACTGACTCGTGTTTCCATATTAGCTTATGATTTTTTTTTTTGCTTTACAACAAGACTGAGCTGAAACCTCTTGACATCTAGAGTCTGAACGCTCTGTCACTTCAACATTGGAGTAAAGGAGCAAGCGAGAGATGCTTAAAAAGAACATGCAGGGGAAAGGAAGGGCAGTGACAGCCAGCGGGCCTGCTTCTATGAGCCAAAGTCGGAGTGACAGCATGTCTGATGACAGCAGAGGGTATATGGTTGGCACTGTAATGATTTACTGAGAGCAGTCTTAACAACAATATTAAGTATTGAATGTAGAGATAATATACAAAGACACATACATCAATATTTCTGCTTGCAGTGAAAAATAAAGGTTTGTTAGTTCCTTGTCTCACCAGAGAGTAGTCCTCCGCCACCAGAATGAAGCCATTGTTGTCAATAAGGTAGCAATTGATATGCTGTCAAATAGAAAATTCTGTCTTAAAGCAAATGTGAAATACAACAGTACCAGAATAATTTGGGGTTAAGTGAACAAAAGGAAACTTGACTGACCTCATCATCACAGCTTATGGAGCATTTTCCATCTAATGCAGTACACTGAAATGTGACAAAGATGGTAATTATGTACTATGAGCATATCAAAACAAAAAAGCTTTAGTTGAGTTGAGAATATACATATTATCAATCAGCTGAGAGACAGAGTAACTGTATTAACAAGCAGTTCTTTAAGTAGAAAAAAGAGTAACTTGGGCAATTCTGCACAAGTAAATTAAAGACAAGGCCAGAAGGGGGCATTCCTGTTCATGCACACCTATAAAGACTGTGTGCAGGGTCAATTAAAAGATTTTTTAAAGATTTCTTAAGATCAGGAGACACTTGAGCTTCTAAAAGAGGTGTGAGGGACTGCAACTGCTACCCAAAGTATTCAGGGGGGAAATGATGAACAAAACAGTGTAAGCTCAAATGGGCTCTGCTTCTTAACTATCAGACACTGGACAACAACTAGGCCATGCTCCAGCTGCACGGGGAAGAGGACGGTGTCTGCCGCTGGTTCCATGACTGCCATAGAACCTGCAGGTGTCAACACCGCAGAGCTACCACTCAAACTGATGTTGTAGTGGAACTGAGACAGATTGGGAAGTTAGATTAAAAGCTATTAGGTAATTCAACAAGAAAAAAGAAAAAAACTAAATAAGAACCCAAAGGACATCACTCAAACAGTGCCAAAAATGATTACATACTGTCAATATAATTATATAATTGATCGGAGGACATTTGGAAAGGATTTTGCTGTCACAAAATCTAAAAATAGGATATTGCTATTGGGTTATTTGAAACATGTATACTAATTCTGTCTGAGGTGATTTTAGCTTTTTTTTTTAGCTTTTTTTTTTTTAAACTTTCGCTGACAGGCAACCTAATGAGGACGATAATTTAATTAAAGATCAACAAGTCAGAAGAAGATGTAGTAACAACAAGGATATTAACAAGTCTTATAAAAGAATCATATTAACAACTACATAATTGAACCTTTACAATAAAGTAAAATTCTAAATGTATGTATGTCTTTTGGCTGACTTCTACTCGACTAGATTTCATTTGAAATGATCGCTCTGCATTCTTGCAATTTTTATCTGACCTCTTTTCTAATAACGCTTGAACACACTGTGCAACATATTGCTTAATCTGTTTTTAATTCAAAACAGATGTCGAGCTGAAATGCTGGACTGTAAAGAAAATTATCAAAAGAAAATTCTGATATAATTCAGGAATGTCTCAATGTGTTTTGGACAAAGCAGATGTTAAAAAGGGTTGTTGAAATGAAAAATATCTATTTTGACAGCAGACAAACCTGGACATTTCTGAGAATTTCAGTTAAACCAATGCACTGAACTGAGAATGTTGTGATATTCACTGTCAATCATGACTACATGAATACACAAGAACATTCACAACTGACAAAAAATACGCAAGCAGTTTTCTTTAGAAAATTGTTACTTCAGCCAAAAACTATTGGACCAGAGCAAAATAATTTGTGCGTTGCATTGTTTGCATAATTTCCTGCCAGTATATCTGTTAAAAACACAATAATATATTAATTTATCTAACTTTCATTTACTTAAAGCTTCAACAATGGAGGAGATGCCTTTTTTACTTAACTATTCTCTACTATCATTTTCTAAAAACAAAAAAGCTGAGTTTCCATTATTATTAGTTTTATTATTTATTATAGGTTTGGAGAGCCACCATGTTCCTAGTTTCTTGATAAAACATGCACTTATATCTGCTTGTATTTTATCATTCACATAAATAATGGGAGTTATATTGTTTGAATTCACAGTCAAAATTGAAAATGTGACACTTTACAATGATACCTGTCTGCTGGCTGTCCAAAACTTCCTCTGAAAGAACTCCAGTTTCATCTGTATGCCCACAGCTGAAAGAGAAACAGCACCACCAACATCAAATATGCTCTATAAACAGGTCATGAATGCTCGGTATGTTAAAGTGTAATTAACCAATAATGTATTGAACAAGTGTAATATAAGTACACTGTACATATATCCCCAACGAGATAAAAGACAGATTCCTGCAGAATGAAATAGTCCATAAAGCAAAGCGCCCGCTTTATAACACATGAAGGAGTATATTTTTCTGGGAGGCTTATGTGAGACTGGATGTGTCTATGCAACACTGCACTGTGCATACAAATGTTTATAACCTCTAAGAATTTCAAATTACACCAAAACAGACCTCTCTCTCTCATCCCCTCTCTCTCTCTCTGTGTTTCTCTCTCTCTCTCTCTCCCTCTCTCGTTCTTTCTCTCTCTACAGCCACATAAAATGAATGCCTCTCCTGACTTTGCTTCCACACTGTTATTCTGACATGCTTTTCTAGTATTGGAATATAGAGTTGCTCTCACTTCCATCAGCCTTGGCCCAGCAGGTCCTTAAATACAAAGATCTGGCCAAAATTCCTTGCCTGGAAAAATTCAGTTCTTTACATTAAATATGTCATCTTGTTCAGAGTTGACTGTGGAAAGATTGACACATTCACCACAGGCTTAAACTTCCCTCCACTCTTTCTCACCCTCCTCTCCTTCTACCCCCTGCCACTAAGACTTAGAGGAGCCTTGCCTTCTCTCAGTGGGGGTGTGCTGTACTTTGGGAGTCTGTAAATCTTTCAAGTAGAAAATTTAAGAGCTTCCCTCAAAATGAAAAGCAGGCCGTTTGTAAAAATGGATGGAAATGTGCCATTTGCAAGACTAGTTAGACAATATTATGAAACAAACAATTATGCTCATGGATGTAACTTGTGAAATTCTTAGTAACACCTATCTTGACTTGTAAAATTATTTTAGTATGATGTTATTTTTTATATTTCCTCCCCTCCTTTGTATCTTTTGCAAAGAAAGATTAATGTGCCTGTGCTGCTGTATGAAGATATTTCCATGGGCTGGTAGACAAAAATGGAAACAAATGTCTTCCAGAATGCACAATTTAAAAGTAGATTATGATCAAATTACTAAAAAGGAACACCTCAGAGAAGGAGAGTCTTTCATTTTATAGACTATATTGAGACTAGACAAATTTTACAATAGAAAAACACATTATAAGTAATTTCTCCAATTACTATTAGTAAAGACAGGAAAATGTGGAATTCTAAAAAAGCAAATCTCATATACCAAATCTCATATACCATTGTTACAGTTAATGTGATATCAAAGATTCAGAAAATCTAGACACATGAATATGAGAAGTGGATATTGTCGACAATGAACATCAGATGCCATTTCAGACCTTCAGACAAACTGGCATGAATTTGTCTCGCAAACAATTGCAGGGTATTGCAGGTACACTTCATCAGCCCAATGCATTTCTGTTAGAGTGACTGTAGATTTGTGCAAATGTTTATGTGCAGTGTAACACTACTGACATCCATTTTAGTTCTTGCCCAGAGGAACAGGTGCAGACTATTCCAACATAAGCTTTGCCAGATACTTTCAGCAGCCCACCATTTTTACACCCACATGGAAAATCCAGAAGGAGAAGCTAATTTCAGAAGCTGAGCGACACTAACGGAAAAAAGAAATCCAGTTGTAACCTAAATAATTAAAACAATGAAAGACACACATTATGCAATTGAACCACAATGCTGAAATACTGTGGATTTTAATACTCTTAATGAAAGACCTAAATTGGGGGAAGTTAACTAATCCCTGAATATTACAATCAATGTAACACAAATGGGATTTCATATCTGTCAATGAAGTGTATAAAACTTGTAATCATAAATCTAACACAAGATATGGCAGAAAACATCTGTGTAGAATGGTATTTAGGGTTAAAAGTGCACTGAGGTTGGCATCTACCTGAATGATGGCTCGGAGGAAAAGCTCAAATCTGTCTCACTAAAGCTTGGGTCTTTTCTGTACTAAGAAGGAACGTTTAATTTCCCTGGGTATGATTTATGAACTAAGCGGTATTTATGCCCTGAGCAGGGTTTATGAGTCCAAAGAAAAAGACATGGAGAATCCACTGTAAATCCATCCCAGTAACAATTCCAATTCATCACATCAATCCCAGCCGTTAAAATATAACAGCCAGTTTACATCATACAGATAGATATCATTCTAATAAGGAATGTATTGATATATATTTCACGCGAAAGTGGTGGTATACTGTAGCAAAGTCAGTCATTACCATGTAATAAGGCATACAGCACAGTAAACAAGGTGCAATGACACTAAACATCAACCATCACATCTATGACAATAATGATTCCAGATGATATGAAATCTGTGGGATATTTTTGAGAAAAAACCTAGACTTGATCGACCTTAGTTGCAAAATCAAGACAAAAGATATAGAGTGAATTCAAGGTTCACCGTCACACTAAACGGACAAACTCATGCTTAAATCGTGCATATAATTATCTTTGTAGATAAATAAATGAGTCATAGGAGGTAAATTATTCACATGAAATGTTTGTTGTAGAATGTTTTTCTTTATGTAGTCTAAGCATTTTCAGACATTGCAACAAAACAGAATCCAATTCTTCAAGGTTGATATTTTCCTCACTTCTCAAAAGAATATATTAAATATAAGCTGATGACACAAACTGACTTCCCTTTTTACTAACAGAATGAAAATAATTGCCAGACCCTTCAGCTTAAAAAAGATTTAAATGCAGGCAGACAGGAGGGCAAATACAAGAGAGACAAGGTCAGTTTGTAATCTCCGTCATATTTATGGTTAAAAAATAATTTGATTATTAATCTTTTCCTACCTCTCCAAATATTTACCCAGTTGCATGAGCTTAAAAGTAAATCCTTTTCCATAGAACAAAAAACATTCATAACAATCATTTTAAATTTGTTACAACAGCTACAATCCATCTTTGTGTTTGTGTGCAGAATTGTGCAGATGTGTGCATTTGGGCATTTTGTGTTGAGCTGGGGGCGTGTTCTGCCAGCCCCTCTGCCTAAGGCTTATGCACAATATCATCAGAGCATGCCACAGAAGCGGGCATCCTCTGACAACATTCACGATGTGTTGAGGGGCTGGAGCAGTTTTTGTCAACAGACCGCAATCCAGGTCTAAATTTGTCCTGCTGAGCTCTTGCCAGAGCAATAGGTGGTGTAACATGAACATCAGTGAATGTGTTTGTGCTGTGATTTAAGAGGCGCAGCTGTCCACTGGGAGATGACACACCATCACACACACCAATGCAACTGGGAATGGGAGGGGATGTGGGAGTGAGCAAAACAGCGAGAGAGACAGAAGAGCACAGAGTGTTGATCTGGGTTTCACAGGCGAGCTCATATTCAATTAAATCAAACGGAGGGAAGGATAAAATAGAAAATAAGAGGGTAGAATGCCAGAAAAACAATGAGGTTTTGAGAGGCAGTGAGAAAACAGCAAAGAGAGAGATAGAGACGGTGAGAGAAGGATAGGGAGGGAGAGAGAGTGGAGTAGTTCTCTGACTGGCTGGCAGCGAGCTCTGTGCTCTGATCTGCCTGCTCTGATGGCAATTCTGGGGATCTTGAGAGCGACACTGCTTTCTGCTGATGATCTTTCCTTTGACTCTCACCTCTTGACTTATATCAGCCAACCTAGAGTCATGACAAGCTCTTCTCAGCCTCATTAATAGCAAATGGATCATCAACCAGTGAGAGTCAATACAATCCGAACAGGGAGTTAAAAGAACACTGAACGCAAGCAGAATAGAGTCGACTGGCAGCTATGAGAGGTACGAGTTCCATCGCCAGTTAAAAGTGTGGATGTTTTGTGCATGAGTGTGTGTGCGTGCATGTATTTTCTTTGTAGGTGTACATGGCTAACCAGACTATTGTATAACTGAGTTCTGATGTGAAATGCTTGATAAAAATAGGTCTCATTGCAAGAATATTCATCTAATAATCACATTTCTGCGTTATAAGATGAACATTTACATCTGTACATTTTTTTTCCTTGTTGCAATTATGAGATGACATTGGTAAAAAGGCTGATTTAAAGTGGCACATGTTATTACAGACTTGTTTGTGTTTACTTTGGGCTGTAGGGACACATCAGAGCAAAAAGCCACTCTCCTGTGTTGACCTCATTCTGTGATGGTGGTTATAATGCTCCACTTGGCTGATGCTTTATATGTGTGTGCAATGTCTGACCTTATGTTACAATTAAGGGACGTATGTCAGCAAATGTGACTGAACGTATTCCTTCTTGTCACTTGTGAGTAGAGGAGTACAGCACTGCAACTCACAAAATAGTAATCCATCCATGTAATAAAGCTTGTTGCTTAAGCATATAAAGATACAATTTGAGTACACTGCCAAAAGCCAGTGTACCAAACAAACACCTGGGATCTGCCTTGGGAGCACCTGTGCATGGATGCCTTTAAACCTGTAGCTCATAACACATTTCATTAGGTCCACCAGCTAATGGTGGACCGAATTTTAGATATAAAAGGTTTACATTATGTTGACTTCATAGATCTGTTCAAGATCTATGGTGGTAACTTCCGAGCCAGCTACACTCATAGGCTTGGGTCATGATTTCATTTCATTTAGCCTCAAGCTAGTCAAGCCAAAGCTATAAATACTGCTGTAATGTTCCAGAAGGAATGGACATGTTAAGTTATCTCAAAGGGAATCAGACACCCAATTTTTGCTGTGTATGGATTTGTGTGTGGGTGAGAGGTTACAAAGCTTTGGTAAAGTTTCCGAGGGTCACTGTTTAAGGAGGTGAGAAGTGGGTGTTAGCATACCAGTTAAAGTTTACTTTCATGCTCATCGGACAAATAATGATAATGATAACTGATCAGTAGAAAAGAGAAGTAAAGAAGGTATTTATTCATGCCAAAAGGTTTCTCGATAAATATTGGTAGCTATCTTATTGGTAGCTTAGGAACATGGGGTAAACCTTTGCTTATGTAATATACTGTATGAAGTAGTCCAGACCATAGCAAAAAGCAATTAAATGATGCCATGTATAACACAATGCTACACCTGTCTCCACAGTGATATTTGTGTGCGCCCTCCTCGCCCCCCTGTCTTTGTCTCATGCCTGCCCAAAGGAGTGCAGCTGCAATAGCAACACCAAAGTGGTAGATTGCCGAGGTAGAGGCCTATACGACATTCCCCGACGACTGCATCCGGAAACCCAAGAACTCTATCTTCAAGATAACCGTATCAGGGGGCTGGGATCAATGGCTTTCAGGGAAATTCCTCTTGTCCGTATTCTCAACCTATCGAATAATTCTATAACATCTATTTCACCCACTGCTCTGCTTGGTCTGAGGACGCTGCATCACCTCAGCCTGGCCAACAACAGCCTGAGAGAGCTGGACAAGCGGCTGCTTGGATCCATCCGCTCTCTCTCACATCTTGACCTCTCACATAACAGGTGAGAGGAAAAATGTCTATTTGTTCTAGCTGTTCGAAATGTATATGCTGTGAATTAATCTCAAGAAAATCATAAACATAAAATTGAATTCATTTTTATGTTCCCACAGTCTGTGGGGCTTACCTGGAGCCATAGGCGGCAGTTTAAGGAACCTCAGCCATCTGGGGCTTAAAAACAACAGACTGTCCAGACTGGATCGCTCACTGTTGGAGGCCCTGACCCACCTGGACAGCATCACACTGCGGGGCAACCCTTGGAGGTGTGACTGCCACCTTATAGGCCTCAAACTCTGGCTGGAAACCTACCTCTTTAAAGGTTAGAGCTCTGATAGCTTTAGGCATTGCTTAATTAATTAATTCATAATCTTATGGTGTGCATGCCTGCTTTCGGGAACACTATAAGATCATAACAGCATGTAATTATAACAGGATTGCCAAGATGATGATTATGATGCTTATTATTATTATTAGTAGTAGTAGTAGTATCAGTAATAGTATTACATAGGGAAAACAGGAAATGAGAGAAAGAGTACAGAAGATTGAGATGGTTTGGGACTCTTGATCAGTTGTTTGTGCCTTAACCACTGCGCCAGTATGCCTTGCATTGGCTCTTCTTTAGCACAATCAATTTTTTACATATAAAAGGTTTAAATTATATTGTATCACTTATTATGTGAATCAGCGTCTAGCACACTGATCAGAGTGTAGCAGTGAATTTTTCTTTTTGGGCTCTAAGAATCTAATTATTATGTTCTGAGGAGTTGAGATTACAAGTATGTATGGTATGTATTACATAATAGCATGAAGATTTACAACTTTTACACTTGATTGTCCATTGTGACTCGCCATTCATGCATGAAGGGAAATCTTCTGAATACGCAGCTCTTGATACTATGTTGGTGAAGTATCCAACCAGAGATAGTGAACACAGTCGACCCATATTATTTTCCATGCAAGAGCAAGCCCAGCATGCATTGGATAACAAAATTACCAGTGTACTATAAAGACTTGGCTTACATGTTGTTGGTTGATCCGCCTACATGTCAGCGTTATCCTGACATAAATTTTCTCTTAGAGGCTGAAAATTCTAATTAATGCAAGCCAGAACAATGCACCCTGATATAAGGATGTGGGCTTAATAGAAAGCTAGTGGTTAATCAGGCAGGCAGAAAGAAAGTGTGTGACAGAGCATGCTCAACATGAGACAGATGAATAGAGATTTACAGGACATACAAAGGGTAGCTGATGAAGTCTTAACTCTGTGCCTTTTCCATCAGAGTCCATTCATTTTGTTCTCATGAGCTGTTAATCATATCGTGTTCATGCTGTCATAATAAATAACAGATAATGCCACGGCATGGGCTAAACGGCAATGATGATGTGATGATTGTAAATTAGATCTGATGATACAAAACAATCAATATCCATATCCCCAAAACTCCTTCTTTGTTGCTCTTCTTTGTCTTGTTAACTCTGATACCAAGGTGGAGTGGTGGATGAAGTGCTCTGCACCCAACCAGAAGAAATGAAGGAAAAAGACCTACAGAAAGTCCCTTATCAGCTCTTCCATGCCTGCATGACGACGAGTTACCATTACCTTTTTGCCAACATACACCACCTGGAGTCTGAGAGGCTACTGAGAGGCCACACCCATGGCAACCATGCTCATCCTTCTAGCCACTCTCTCCATGTCCCCATGGCGATGGGGGAGGGTTTTGGAGGTGGTGGAGGAGGAGGAGGAGGAGGAGGAGGAGGAGGGGGTATGCCAGAATGTGAAACTAAGCAGAGGCACCGTCCTGTCAACTTGCGCCATGCTATTGCCACAGTTATAATAACCGGCGTAGTGTGTGGGATCGTGTTACTTATGATGCTGGCTGCCGCAGTATACGGATGCGCCTATGCTGCTATCATGGCTAAATATCAGCGCGAGTTAAAGAAGACTGAGGAGTTGGCTGCTGTTCAGGGGGCACATCACGCTACAGCAGACGAGAAAGAACCACTGGAGAATGCAATCGCCTAGGAGACACAAAAAAAATGACTTTGGACTTAGAACCTGGGTCACAACCCTTTAACCTAGTTGTCTCTGGATGCCATATGTGGGCTTGTACATGTATGTTTGTTAGGAAAAAAAACATTAGGAGAGATTGAGATCATTTATTTTTGCATTAGTTTAACTCATGTCTGAGATTTGGGTAGCTAAATTTCCACAGGTATTCCACTATGCACTGATGAGTAGAGGGTCCTCTATTCTATGCGGGTTTGAGGGGCAGGCCAAAGACTTAGAAACATATACATTTCATTGTCAGAGATAGGAACAAATTGATATATATTTATAATTGTGTACTTGTAGGTATTTGTAATGTAAATCTGATATTTATAAAGTGGTTGCTGTTTTTCGGTTGTTGCTCAACATTTTGAGTCTGTTTTTGACTCGTAGTAACGTATAGTAGGCAGCTGTCAACAATTATATTTCTTCGCATAAGGTATTTGTATCTGTGATGTATGTGTGAGATGATTGTGTTACTCATCCGTGCTAGAGTATGTGTGTGTGTGTGTGTGTGTGCGCGCGATGAGATGTACAATGTATGCACATTTTACAAAGAATTCTCAGCGTCTGTGCCTGATAATGTTGAATAGTTTTGAAAAAGAAAATGTTTTCATAGGATATTTTTCTGGAGTCTGAAGGGAAAATGGGAAATTCGTTGAAGCAATAATGAAACAAACTAAAATGAAAATAATTATAAAACCCGGCCTCAGCCTTTTTCTATGTCAATGGGTTCATAAGTCTGACTGAAAACACAGCACACGCATAAAAACAAAGTTTAATTTTCCATTCTTAAGATCAGTTTAGTTTTGTTTGTGACTTAATGCTGGATATATATGGTGGTACTGTTTTTCAGTATGTATTATATAAAATAAAAGGAAGCATTGCTTCTCATTACTGTATAAGACTGGCAATTCATCTGAGAAAGTGCATGTCCTGAGCAGGGAAAAGCAAACGTCATAGGTGAGTAAAAAAGCACTATATTGTGGAATAAAGTGAGCTTTTTGCTTACTTACATTCTCTGACATTAACTCGGACAGACAACAATCAGCTTAAAATCTAAGGGTGTACGCTGAGGGTTTGATATACTGCAGGGCTTTACAGGACAGTAAAACTTCACCATTGTTGTGTTGTGGGAACATGAGTTTACCCTAATTTTGACATTTTGTAATGACTTGCCAGTTTTCTAAAACATTATAAAAAGCAGACTGTTATGTAAAAAACATCACTTGAAAGAGAAAAAAGACACTTGAGGATTTTCCTTCATTGATAATGCTGACCACCATTTTGTCTTTCCGATAGTACTCCAACATATTGTATTTGAGGTGCTCTTTGACTCATGTTTGGCATTAGCACTATTTCATTATATGTGATTTAAAAAAAAATTAAAATGATATAATGATATTCATTCAAATGATGTTCTTAAATATTCCTTACTGTTTGGAGGAGGAACTTTAAGGATAAACAGATGCCTTTGGTCCTGACACCTGACCTGTCTCTCCTAGCTCTGTGTATATTATAACAGCAGACCAACTGCACGTGGCTCAGGATGTGATCACACACACAAACACACACACACACACACACACACACACACACATACACACACACCAACATGCTGGCATATATTCGTTTGAATGCACACACAGGAACACTGTGACTCCAGTGATGTCTGCAGGGCCCATAGTGTGTGATGTCATCAGCCTGTCCTGTTAAGTTAGCGTGTTAGTGTATTCACAAGGCTGCAGCTCAGTGGAGCGCAGGGCAGTGAAAACTGGCCCTGACCAGCCTACGCTAAATTTGCATTCTAGCCTACGTCTCTCCTCCCATCTGACACTCTTATATAAAAGCATCCTTACAGACATCAACCGATATGACAAGTATGTCGTCACTAATGTACATCAGCGCCCACTGAAACAATAGGGTCTTTATGAAACCATCTTACTGGTTAGTTATGTGGATCGCTGATAAGCAGGTTTTGAGAAAACAACTGGCTTAAGACAAAGCTAAAATCAGCAGGGTCAAATTGTGCCGTGGGTTGGTGTAAACTTTGGGCTGCTGGCGCATCACTCTAATAGGGTTCTGATGCATACTCTGTGTATTTGTGCGTACACCATGGCACTGCACAGACTCTCCCATCTCTGTCCTTCTGCTCTAGTGGTCTCCCCCAGGCAAAGACTACCCAAAATGCACTGCTTTTATGTCAACGCATTCAGGCACCATGAAATAATTTTTGTCTGTCTCTGCCCTTCTTCCCTTTCTCTTATCTTATCTTTGCATTTCCAATAGATGTTCTTCCTCATCCTTTAGTTATTATTTTTTTATCCTCTGCCCAGATATCATTCTGCTACTCCGCTGCTGGCATAAGTTGCCATCTTATGTTGACAAGAAGACTGAACATAGATAATGATTTTACAATGTGTGTTCTTTGTTTGTCTCTTTTTTGTTCTTAAGGTATGAAAAAGGTGCCCTGAGTTGATTCTTTTATACATTATGAGTATGTCTGCCTTTTGAGGTGAATACATTTAACTTGTCTTCATCTCAAAGAAAGGCCCTTATTTATTTGGCCTAGATGGCAAAGCGAAAACACAGTCACATGAGAAATGTGCTAAACGGAGGCCTATGACACTGGCAACTATAATTACACTAAGGTACATATAATTTTGGATGCAAAAGTCAGTGCAGCGCAGTGTGCTCATGCAGCAGCAAATGTACAAATGAAAAGAGCAGCACAGTCAGAGTATGTGGGCAGCAAGTGTTTCAGTTCAAAGGAGGAAAAGAAATAGAGGGGGAGAAAACTGTACAGCAGCAACATAAAGTATAGCAGTGTAAGGAATAAAACATTGCCTCTCTGCTAGCTTGGAAACGTGTGTGTTTAAGATAGAAAGAGAGAGTAGAGTCCCCACTTACCTGCTGCTATAGGGGATTTCCTCTCGTCCAAAAGCTGAATTGCAGTACTGGCTAATACAACACTTTTGTTTTCTGATCCTAAACAACACAGATATAAGGGAAATTACACACAACCAATACAGACACACACATACAGTTTTAGACATAAAATACTTATTTACAAATTATTACAAAGTAACTAAACAGTGATTGGTGGGAGAAATGTATGAAAGAAATATTCTAAACTGCTTTTTCATAGCTTCAACCAACTACATCAGCACTGGGAGGAAGAGAGCATTTAAGGCAAGTCCTGCAAGTAAATAAGAGGCTTTCAGATCACTCCTATTAGCTGACATTAATGGAAAGCCTGAGGCAGAGGACAAATGAGAACACATCCTGCCTTGAAGTAACAGTTGCATTAGATACATGAGGTGCTCGTGTATCCTCCTGTTCTTTTGTTATTTTGTGTTTTTTGTGTGTTCTAAGCAAGCAAAATATGTGAACCTCTTCCTGAAGTATCTTATTTCAACCCACAGCAATCAGTGCTTTCCACAAGCACACAGCCCAGAATTAATAAGAAAGGAAGGGGAGGCACAGATGCCAAGCTGAAAAAAATACTAAATACGAGTAAAGGTGAAAAACAATCAGTGTTTCTCAGAATCATACTGCGTATTGTGCAACGGGTTTATATAACATCATGGAAATACACAAAATGTAAAATTTCTTACTAATCCCTAAAAATGTCAAATTAGAAATAATTTAGTCTTAAAAGTACAAATTACCTGTGTTGAAGGGCAGTGAGTATATAAAGGTACCAGGAACTTGTTCTGCCGCTCTCTTGTACCACAGGGGAAAATGGTCAGCGTTGAACACCCCCTCTCTGTCTTCAGCTGTCAGGAAGTCTCTTGAGGCACACAGGAAAGAGATGTTAAAATGGATGTACAAATAAAGCGTACCAATGGAATAAGAAACAGAGATATCAAAATGGCTCAGTTACTGACTACTTACTGGTTTGTAAGTTCATCAGGGACCACAAACAGATTAATTCTTGACAGTCCTGTTCTTGTGCCCAGATAGGCAATCTCCACACCTTTATCAGAGTTCCTGAAGGGTGTGACACATTTATGAAGTGACAGTTAAGATATTGCAGACTTTTGGAATCTTGGCATCTAAATATCATATATAAATATCAATATATTTAAAAAAATAAAGTGTTTCGGTGTTCTGTCAAAACAAGATGTTTTTCTAATAGCAATAAAAGACATGTGTCTAATAAAAGATAAATGTTTTTTCTGCAAATTCTTGTAAACCACATGACATACTCTGACTTATTGAGCACAAGACTGGTCCAGTAAGCCTCCAGGGGGGCAGTCACCACTGCATCAAAGAGTACTTCCTGAATTAATTGCTTGTCACCTGCCAAGGTAAAGTAAAGAGATGAATATTTCACTCATAAATCCCCACCAGTTACTTGCTAGTGGTCAGAATATCAGGTATCAGGTAACATCTGTGAATCGGAGGAGGCAAAGCTGTAGTGGAATATAACACACATTGTAAATTAGGATCATGCCCGCTGAGGAAAATTTTGATTGCTTCTATCTGGGACAGGTAACGATGCTCGGGGTGCTCATCTGTGTTGCAGTATGTCCTACAACATAACGACAGTGGAAAATATGAGCATTAGTTGCACAAATCAAATTTGTTCCTTCCTAATTTGATGTCTCAGCTTATAGTCAATTATCTGCTCAAAATTGCTATCATTATAAAATCCATGGCATATAATTAATTTGCTCTCAGTTGCCATTGAATTACAGAACATATAATAGTTATTAAACTCTTTCTTCATTTGCAAGCATTAGCTTAAAAAACATTGCTTATCATTGACTGAGATTTTCCCTCTCAAACCAAGTGACTACAAGCCCTCTTATAACACAGACCATTAACTCAAAGTCTTGCATATCTAGTATTTCTACAAACTCATGAATGGTAATAGTCCCCAACAGAAGTGTCATATGACTCACCACTCATCTGCCAGTTCTACATCAGGATGCTCCAAGTCATGAAGTCCTGTAACAGAATGATGTCTGTATGTCTTCAAATAAATAGGCAACCTCCATCATGTGAACTTATGATAATAGGGGAAAGCATCTACATCTCAAATGTACACACACTTAAACACATGGCGGGAGTGAAACATGATTTTTTTTAATGAATGTGACAGGTCTGATTGGATCAGGGGGAGCCAAGTCATGCTCAGAGGTCCTTTCAATGATGGACATGTTTAGAGAAACACACAGACACACGCACGCACATCACCACATGAATATTAACACGCATGAGGTTTGACGAGAGAATAGACACCTTTACACATAGAACCACACACACAGAAGTAGACACACACTATCAAGACACAGAGACTATGACACTTCCAGACAAGATTAGGCTTTTAAATCCATTATGATTACAATTCTATTGAAGGTAATGAGTATGCACTTTTATATGAGACGAGTATTTGTTTCACAGATTAATGTCAGGGTTTAGTGGAGGTAACTCAGGATGTTTCCTTTGTATGTTGTTCATTGGCACACAAAATGGAAAATGAAAAAATAACGCTTTAATTTAAAAACTACATTTAAAACGTTTTTAACCCATAATGCTATGATTCTATCATTAATTTACTTCCAATTTGTAACACTCAGTAATAAGTGTTTGTGTTTTCGTCTTGATATATATATATATTATTTGTATTCTTCAATTATCTGAAAACCATAGCAGCTCAGAATATAAATGTTTGTTCATACTTGTTGTTATGGCTGTCTGAAAAAAATATATTAAAGAGAAATGGGGGGAGGATGAGAATCACAAGGACACAAGAAAAACTGACATATTTGATGCTGAAAACAAAAACAAAACAGTCAGGAGAAAATTGAGACAGAAGAGGATTTCCTACCTTCTTCAACTGTGACATTCCCTCTGAAAATAAACTTTCCATGGCCTCTGGAAAGAGCAACCCCTAGACTACAAAAGGAAAACCTTTTTTTCTTACAGAGACTTATATAATTCATTTAATAAACTACAGAAATAAAGTAAGTCATCTCACCTGAATGGAGTCCCTTTAATGTCTGTGTAGAAGTAATCGTTGTGTAGAATCAGTACACGTTTCTGAAATAAAAGGTTAATAAACATTTAGCAGCATGGCAATAGCTCTGTGAGATACCTAACGGCCTAGCTCCATCTAGTGGTACAAGGAGTGTGTGCATTGGGCTGGAACCCATACGGCTGGACATGAATGTGTTTATTCTGTGTCTATTCAGGAAAGATTGTGAACATGCTCGAATGTGCACATTAAAAATTGGTCTGTGTGTAGTTTTACATTGAGATAATGAAAGCTTAATAATCAGGCTAATATATAATGCTCTTTAAACTTTGAAAATGCAAAGTACTTACACACATTCACGTTCAAACACACAACTGAATGCCACTTTCTCTCTGACAGGCAAGTAGTAAAACAGAATCACCGGGTGGCTGCATCCCCTTTATGGAGCAACATGTGCTCGGTGGAGATAAGAGGCTCGCACACAGAGGCACACACCAGCACATGCAGAGCAAACCAAATCAGAAACAAAATCCCCAAGTCAATCCTGTACATCACTGTGCCAAGTTTAACAATCCCTTGGCAGGGTGAATTCTCCTTGCTTGGTATTTTCTCTCATACATCTTTTGGGAGAAAATAAGTGCTTGTTTGTGCAATTTTTTAAACGGTCAATCCCTTACCCCTTTGTCCACACTTTTCGTCACTTCCATAGAGAATGTCCCTGTCTTCCTGTTGACCATGGCATTTCTCAACTAGAAACAGAAAGCATGCATTTTGTATTATTGTAAATCTGCTTGATAATCAGAGATTTACTGTGATGGTGCCTCACCGTATCATCTTTGTCCTCCCATTCAACCTCAGAGAGATCCACACTGCTGTAGTTTGGCTTCCTTCTCTTCTTGCCATCTCCATACTGGATATATAGCAATGAGTGAACACACAAGTATGTAAGACTCTTATAATATAAAAAAGCACCTCACAGTCCTTGTGTCATTTCACAGATCATGCAAGATTCAGAGTGTTTGTTTAATTGTGTTCATACAATTGAATTATTTAGCTATTTCACTGTATGTTTCAGTTTACAGTAATATAGTTGCATCCTTCAGAAATATATTCAATAATTTTGGACTCTACATTTTATGATTTGCCCAGTTATAGACTTGCATCCTGTCCAGGGTGTCTCCTGCCCAGTGACAGCTGGGATCGGCCATAGCTCCCCTGTGACTCTACTAGCAAAAGGCGGTGTAGAAAATGGACGGATGGATGGAGTTGTTCAACAGGGTTCATTAATGTCTTTAAATGGACCTTGTTTAAAGCATCTGTCTGTCTGTTTTCTCGTCTTCTCCGTTTCTCTCACAACCTGTCGAGATCTCCCCACAATTATCCAGTGTTGCCATTCCCAGTGTTATCCTTCAGCTTTTCCCACATTTTAGCAGCCGCTTGTGCACCTCAGCCTCGCTCTGTTTCTATGCCACTTCCCCTAACTCTCACTTGTTAGGGGGGTTGGGTAAGTACAATAGAGTTAATCATAGCCATTCAGGACCAGTATCTCTATCTATTCACAGACCAAAGGAAGGCTGGAGCACACTCCTCATGTTCATAGTGCCACACAACCAAGACACTCACACAACATAGCATAGAGCACCCACACACTACAAATTTTCCGTCAAACTCTACTTCAATTTCTCTCAGCACGATATGAACATTGGTAATTTACTTGGTTTAGAACAGTACAAATATCTTGATTAATTTTAAGTTCAATGTCTCTATCATAAGAGGTTCGGTTGATTACAAGGGGAACCTTTGGCTCAGCAACTGTGGAGGTAATACTCACGAGTGGCCGTAGATCTGGATGAGTGAGGATGTAACCATTGTTGGTGATTGCAAAGGCGTAGCCATGAATGCCCAACTAGAATGATGAGCAGAAACAGAGAACTGATGCAAAACAAGTCTAATTGTAAATCCAAGCTAATCAAGCTCTTTGTAATCTTTTTACATTCCGAATAGTTATTTTTGTAATTAAAGTCAGAACAAGAGGATCCATTCATCTATGTCTGCACAAATAAAAGTTTTAAAAGGTCAAAGCTGACACTCAACCAAGTTTTATATCCACAAAAGAAATCAACACAGCAGATGTGAAAGGGAGCACACTCAGAATGCATTAGTTTACACGATGTGTGGAAATATCTTGTCAATCTTAGCCGTGAGGAAGAAGCTGTAAAAAAAGTGTGAAAACAGCCAGCATAGCTGTGATTTATCTTTGGATGGCTTTAAAATGCTCACAAGGCAGTTTTGACTTATTGGTAAGAGTGAAAACCTGACTAAAGTGTATAAAAGACAAAGCAAATTCACTTGCTTGTTTAGCAAATAGATAAACAATACACTAAGAGTGCCCAATCATATGCTGCATTTGCAGGTCTGAGAATGATTAGAGAAAGTTTTTCTTAAATATATTCAATATGCAAGATATATATATACATATCTTCATTTACTTGCAATATATATATATATTTCTTTTTGCATATGTTACCTTATATTTGGGAATAGTTTTAAGAAGCTCAGAGACGGGCACATCTGTCCCAACCACCCCGAGAAGGATTCCATGGTTTCTCTGGAAGCATACATTTTAAAAACGCTGTTCAGTTTTGTTACTTATATAACACTTTTCTTAATATATTCATAACTGTTTCAGTTTTTAATGTAGTCTTTATTTGTAATCCTCCACTGTATCTTAATTTAGACCTTCAAATCAAATTTAAATTATTTTCTTACTTCAATTTCAACCTTTTTTTATCAATTTGTCTATTCTCTCTGAGCCTAAGTCAGTAAACAGCGCAATGTGGTGAACATTAAAGAAAAAAAATAGAAGATTTACTGGACAGAAGTGTGACAGTGTGTAGGCTATCAAGCCAAGCGTGTGAACTTACAGTTTCATTCTTGGTACTGAATACTGGCATTGCCACGGTAGTCATCAAAACTGGGTCTTGACCATCCTCCATCTGAATGCCATTAGAGATAATCATTGATAAGTAGCACATGAACAGTAGAAATGAAGAAGAAAAAGAGAGACAGGAGAAATGGGAAGGGAAAAGAGGAAACTAATGATCAAACATAACTGACATAAACAAATGTTAACTGTAGAACACATTGATTGGTGCTATACATGTCATATGAAATATGTTGTCTGTATCCTGTAAGTGAATTTTTTCAAGCTCCATAAAATCTTCTTTAGTGAAGCTGATAGGGTTTCTGCTGCAAAGCTAGTCATATTATCTTCTTAAGGGACCTGCATAAACTTCCATGACATGTTTTATTCATGTTTATTATTCGCCTCGAAATGTGTTCAATCAACGACTGCCTTTGATCTCTTGCCAAATAAGCTTATCCAAAGGCAGTGCTTCCAAATTTGGATAGAGTTATATTCTCCCTGCAAAGAGTGCTGGGATAATTATTGTATATATATTTATATATATATCTTTCCAGTGGATGTCTGTATCTAACAACAATATCAATTAGAGATGATTGCCTGACACTGTTTTGAAAAAGGGAAGAAAAACCTGGTGTTTTAAAAAAATGATCTGACCTTCTCCAATTACAAATGTTCCCACTTTTAATCACTCATGCAGCTTATGTTTAAACTGCATGAGTCACCATGTGCTATCAAATGCACATTTATGCACTTAGCAGAGGCTTTTATCCAAAACTACTTACAAAGTGCACTCCAGGATGAAAACCACAATGGTTTAAGTTAAATAAGGTAGTAAAACAGCATAGAGCATGAACTGTTTCTTCAGCAGTAATTAATTCTTTGCCGCTTTATTTATTAGATTGCATTGGATTGGTCCCAACATAAGAACTCATATTGGGCTTCTTTTTTTTTAAGAACTACCCCATTTTACACATTTCAGTTAACTGGACATTACACCCCCATCTGTACACCCTGTTCTTTCCATTCTTCACCCACCTTTACTATCATTAATAATGACAGGACATTGTTTGTATCCATTCTGTCTTCCTTAGACAGTGGTGGGAGAGGGGCTATGGTGACCTGAGTTCAGGCAGCTAGTAATAGCAATATAGAGTGAAGTATTGGACATCAAAGAGATAACAAAGCACCCCTAAGTACAGCTTCTCTACAATGGACAGCCTTGCTCCTGTAGCATGTGATTGATCAAAGGGCAGAAGCGACAAGCCGAGTATCATCTAAAAATACAAAATCTATTTCCATGCTCTGGTCCACTGGATCATATATCACCCGGCTGTTGAGCAATCACTTTACAGAATGTTCTACCCGTGAACATTTATCAAAAAAGTTACTTTTAGTTTTACCATTAAAGCAGGTCTCTTCCAATGGCTTTGAGAACAGACATACTGGTTAATTTTTGGGATAATAAAAGCTACTTGAAGCAACTATTTATCTTGGTTTTAAAGTCAATGTTTATGTTTTGGAGAATCCCAGTTAACCCCTTCACAGAGAAAATAAATTAAAGTCTATTATCTATTTTCCCAACTCTGGAGAAGTGAGAAAACCTAAAAAACTGAAACGGCAACTGGATACTATGGGAATGTACCATCTAAAATCTGACTGGCCATAACTAATCAATAATCTTTATCATCATTGTCTCTGTAGATTTATCTGTAGTCAGTTTGACTAGACAGAGTAAATGAGCTGTGTAAGTCATTCCCCATGCTGTGGGCCAGAAAATGAAAAAGAATACCACTAAGCCTTCATACACTTGACATCCCACCAACATAAGTATCAAGTCACTTATACCTGTCAGCAGTCTAAGATATCAACTCCTGGCCTGTTTTGTGTTATCAAAGAGCACCTCATAATCAAAGTTACTGTGACAAATTGTGAGCTAGTATATAAAGTGACCCTTGTTGCCTTGGAGACAAGGTTGAATGATGCAGGTCTGTGTAAGCAATGCAGCCAAATCCCCACCCAGTGTGTTCCTGAGACAGAACTAAAAACAGGCTACATTGAGAAAAGAGATTGCATTGATCCAGTCAGAATTTTTACTGCACAGGTGTTTTGGGATCATCTCTGAAAACTCTCAATTGCCTCAATCAATATTAACACTTTGCTTAGAAATTGTTGAGTTGATAATCATCAATCATGATGCTCTGAGCAGCACTGTACTTCAATGCATCATCAAGAAGTAATCAGCAGCCCGAAGCCTCCCGTCAGTCTGTTTTAATGCTTAATCAAGTATAAATCATGTTCTTTGAAATTCTTTTCAAAAACCCTCCTCTCCTTCACAGTTTTCTTTACATCTTCCCCAATGTGCACTGATGCCATTTTTCTTTCAACCATATCACATTCCGTCTTACATTCTGTCCAAAATCTCTCCTACTCCGATACATCCCCCTTTCCCCAGATTCATTCACATCATCCGAAAGCCCCGCTGTCAGAACATCCAACATAGTGGGAAACAAAGCCAAATGAGCCAGTGAATGATGGATAGGGCTTGTAAGACAAAGGATAGGAGGGAGCAAAATGGGAGCAAAGAAGAATAGAGTCTAGGTGGAGGAGAGTCTTGGGGTGGGTCAAGGAAAGTAAAAAATAAAGGACTTTACAAGAAAAGGTGTTATAAAATAGAGATAAGGAGTGGAAGAAAGACCCCCATCTTGAAAAGATTCTTACAAATTCAAAACGCCTATCACCTACCATAACAAGCTAACACATATCCAAGAGTTTTGTTAACTCCTTAACCGATACTATGGTGAAGTGGCAGTTCTTTTTTTTTTTACCACAGAGTACAGTTGTCAGTGAGTGTTCACAGTAATAAACGACTCCACACTCATTTCAATTATCACATCATTTGAGATATCTATTTTTCCGTCTGGTGAGCCTTTTTGGTGTCAGTCAGCACAGGCTATCACAGTAGCAGTGCCATGTCAGACGTAAGGCCTGCCAGCTGTCTAATGCGACTGCACTGCTGCTCAGCCACAGCACTCTTTTGTTCTGCCAGTATCATTGTTATGATATTAGAGCTGCTAATCTCAACCCACATATGATTCATAAATCACTGAGAAATAAAATGCTGGAAATGAAGAAAGGCATCAGATCATCCCGCCGCTCATTACGGACTATTGGATTTTCCATCAGTAGATGACAAAAGCTTATTTTGGAGAAATCTACTAAAACAAACAACAATAGCAATCTTGTTCTGAAACCATAATCACACAGGCCAAAGAGCAAAATCTAACCTCACGCGTAAACGTGTGACCACAATGCCAGGCTGAAAACACTTGCAAAGCACGGACAACATTGCGCAGCATGTGATAAATGAGTGTGCGCACAGATGTGTGTGTTTGCTTAATCTGACATGCAGAAGATTCCCTGAGCTGGCGACAACCACGATGTGAAACTTGAGTCAGGAAGTTGACGAATGACATACACGTGTCATAAAAAAGATGATGCCATGAGCTTTTCTGATATGCAGCTCCCAAATAATACCTTTACTTCACAGACATCAAAAACCCACATGCACATAAACTGCACATGAACACACAGCAGGCCTCAACAATGCACAACACGGCAACGGCCTCGGACCAAAAGGTTTACCTTTTGTGCTTGGGGGAGCTAAAGAGAACAGATTGAAGAGGAGGAGGAGGAAAAGAGAGTGGGTCAATACATTTAGGGAAAGGTATCTGAAAGTGATTCAGTGGAAGGAGTGACCATTCATTACACTGACGTTGACACAGGCTTCAACTTAAAAGCACTGACAGGTTTTGGGGACAGAGGACACACATTACAGGAACAGAGCTGAAACAGATGTTGAAACTGTCCATTTCAATCAAATGTCATGAAAGATTGAAACACTCCACTGCAACCCTCTGAGCAGGAAACTATAGATTAATAGGGATGATATCTGCAATCTCCTGTTTGAATCAATTTTGAATAAATGTTTGTGAGAAACTTTTGAATGACAAAAGTATGATTCGTAATCAATTTCCAGTTAAGAGATACATTTGAATCATTACTGATTTCAATTAAGGTCATTTTAATTTCTGAAGTTTTGGACTAGAACTGGGTCATGAGACAGAACAATGATCCAAAGAACAAAGCGTACAGTGAAGGTATGCAATGATCCAGTCAAACTCCAAACATCTTCCTAATTTGAATAGTTTGTTGGGACTTGAGAGTGCATTGCAAATGATACAGATAGCAAATTATACAAATGTAGATTGACTTAGTCAATGCTGTAAGGAAAAGTGGGCCACATTTCTTCCTGAGACTAATGACATCATATAAAACATAATTATTGAGTCATGGAATGCACTTTTTAACACACTGGCTCATAGCTCCCTCTTTATTAAACAAATAATGGCACTGCATAAAATATCATGTTTTTCCTTTGGGAGCGTACACTAAAAGTAACAAGATCTGTTAAAGGCCTGATTGATTTTTCCAGATTGCTTTTTTTAACATGGGTAATATAGTGGTCAGGGTTTAATGTAAGAATTTATTTTTAAAAAAATAGAATGAGATTATGAGCATCAAAGGCAAGAAAGTGTTTATAAAAACACAGGGCACATTCAAAGATATGTCTGGTTGAAAGTAGATATCTTAAACCTCTGGAAACAAATAATGTGTCTGTAGCATGTGGACTGTTGTATAGATGGTGTCTGTCATAAAACGAAAATACATGAACAGGGGAATTACAGCACATGTACAAATTTTGGTTGAGATATATGGTAATGAAAAATAATTGCCAGCCATTTCCATTTTAGGATAGGGTCAATGTTCTACCACTCACACTACAGGACTCGCAAATACACACTCGAGACTCATTGACTTAATGATTCCATCTGCTACCCACACATACATACGCTCGCACAAAACACATTGTCAGCCTTCTGCTCGTGTTTCATTCCCACTTATTTTCATCTGCATTACATAATTTCGCCATCCCAAAAATGCAAATGTGTGGGATTCACTTTTGGGGTTTTCACAAGTTAGAATAGAATATTCCAGACCGATGAGGTAAACAGCTTAGTGGGAGTGTAGAGCTAATAAGAACTATTCCTGGTACAGTTGCACGGTCAACTCACAGTGCTGTCAATATATGCTTCAGTCCACACTGTGTCATGTTCTCGGTCAATCACTTTCGGGCGACTCAGCACATGGAGATACTCCATCACATTCTCCTGCACATCTGCCAATGTGGAAATCTGAGTGAAGTAGCCTGTAGAGCAAAAAGAGGAAAATAAAAGGGTCAGACAAAAGATCATCATACAAGGATTGGTGTTAGCAACTGCTTAGAAAGCTCTGATTTTGTTAGCCAGAAATGGACAAGCGTTAGCTATTAGTCTGCTCTAGTATTAGCTATCTAGTATGTTTGGTAAGGTGAAACATGAATTTATATTAATTATAATGATAATCATTTCCCTATTCACTGAGCAGAATGTGAAAATAATGCTAAAGCTCTATTTAAAGTTTACTTGACTCTTGAAGTCACTTTTTCCCATCTGTGTGTTTATCTTAATGGATTTTCCAACGCTGATTACATCAAACTTCATGCACTGCACAACTATGCAACCGGATGAGGTTTCCATCTAAAATGGTTCTGCTGGATGTTTTTGGTAGCAAAACTCTATGAAACATGCAGCAGCCAGGTCTGGTGGATGAGAGACATTAGCTTGTCTAGCCGTGATCAAAGCTGAAACGTGATGCGATTCAGCTGATGGATTACGGCATGTCTGCACTCCCCTCACTTTTCAAAACCTGTGGCTTTGTCCTTTTTTGAAAAATATATTGATTTATTCAATTAATATAAAACATAATGATTCAGCCAAAAAGGCCTGCTCAGAAACCAAAATTGAATAAGAAAGCTCCAGCCTATGTTTATAATACCACATCACAGTCAGCATCAGCAAGTCTGTAGAGGTGTAGGGAGTCTTTTAGTAGCCGTTTGCTGGAATAATGTTCAAGGCAGAACAAACCAGCAGGGGTCTGTGAACTGTTAAGTGGTATGTAAATGCAATGTATAAACTATCTCAGACTAAAATGATGCCATTTCCCATGATGGTAATGCCATCATTATGATGCTAATGTGCATGTGGAGGAAGGAATACTGTTATCTCAGCAGGGGAAAAGAATGGGGAGAGGAGGCAAGAATCTTGACAACAGCAAGAAAAAGACAAGTAGTGACACAGAGAGAAAGAGAAAATAGAGAATCCAACACATTTCTATTCAACCGTAAAAACAGCAAACGGCCTCCATCACTCTGAGGCAGTCAAGTAGAAAATCATAGCTGGAGGAAATAGATTTTAGGGTCATTGTTCCCAGCAAAAACCTTTACTGCACAGAGAAGATAAAAGTAGAGTCTAGACACTACAAAGATCTATGAAAGATGCCATATATTACCATACAATAACAAGCTCCAGCAATGATTGTCTACTTTTAGATCAGTAAAAATGACAAAAATTGTAAAGGCATTGAAATACTAAAACATTGATTATTCCAATCACTATGGCAACAATATAGCAGCTAACTTTGATCTTGACCTGGAAATGAACTTTGATAAATTCCTGCTTTCCAATGCCAGAGACATTTGGATCTGGCCATTATTCCACCAGACAGAACAATGACAGCACACGCACACAGACCCACGTCGCACAAAAAGAAAACCGTCTCAGTCTCACTGCATTGTTTATCGCAGTAGTGAGCTAAGGCTGACTGCTCTCCAGAACGCTGAGGGCATCCTTTGGGCTGAGTCACACGGGCCATTGAGAGGATCTGGCAGAAGAAGAATGAATGCACCCTACTCTCAGTGATGTGGAGCACCTGTCCTACGCACAGACCAGCTATAGCGGGGTTTAGGAAGCATGAAGACATCAGGATAACTTCAAGGGGAACCTGAATTGGGTCTTTGATACAAGTGAAATGTATAGAGCACAGTCCCCTAGCCTGAGAAAGTAATGCACCAGATGGAAATGAAAAGTGCCGTGGTATATCGTACACATCCCCAATGCATTTTCTGATTGGCATGGTTCTGTGTCTCGATATGTCGCGTGATGGTCAGTCAGAGGTTTATTCCCGGCCACAGCTGAGGTAAGCGCCAAAAAGCTATAAAACTCTGAGATTAAATTAACTCTTGTTCAGAGTAATCACTGGTGAAAAACAGAACACATTAGCCAGCAAGTTATGTGGCATTGAAACCCAGCTGCAACAAATCACAATATAAACATTGAATTTAGCATCCAGATATCTTTATATTAAAAAAAATTAAATGGGCCAAAACTCTACATCCTTTTCTTGTTAAGAAACTAAAAGCCTGTTTCACATAGCAACACGTTTGATCCGCTCATGAATAGGACATTGATAATTAAGTAGTTTATTAGCCTGACTTAGCCTGAACACCATTTCAGCTGTGGTTTGGAACAAACGTGTTGCACATCACGCGCAAAGAGAATATTGTTCTTCACAGCCTCTGCAGAACGGATTTTACTACCACAGAACACCATCATACACACACAAATTCAGCCTCACACAAGTGTATGCACACTCAAACACACTAGCCTCATCATCATCTCTCGCTCCCTTACACTGATTGGAATGGGCGCTCTGATATCACTGCCACGCAACTCTGTGGCTAACCCCATCTCTTGTGTACACACACAAACATACAGATAGCTAAAACACATAAATCCACTTTTTGTGACCTGTGCCGTGGCTGTGTTATCAGAAGGAGCCTGTGGAAATGGAGCCAGACTGTCTCTGTCACCCATCTCCAAGCTAAATATAGAACTCGGGGGGGGAAATGCTCTATGCACTGAAACAATGTTATATATTGCTGTGACTGGGCATTAGTTTTACAGGAAAGGGAAGGTGATATGATGAGACTTATCTTGATTGGACAACTTGAACCAGATTCCTGCTGTCACAAATGTGCTAATACTGATGACCACTGACAAATTCATCAATGCTTCTGTGTGCACACATACTGAAACGAGTACCATCAAATCCAAAGGTTCCCTAAATATGTGCTCATTTTCATCTGGCTGAAGACACCATGCACCGAAATTTCTCTTGCAAAAACAGATTAAATGGGGGAAAAAAAAGTTCCACCTTTGTTTGCGCATGCCATCCATTTCAGATTATCGGCGAAGGCTGACTCCCTGCCAATTAGGTATGGAAATATTCGGACCTATGGAGAGAAAAAGAGATCATGTTCATCACGGGGTTTAATAAAAAAATCATGGAAGCTGGCACACAAACACATTAAAGACAACACTGTCAGATCCAGGCTGGTGGGACTGTCTATTCTGCAAATGCTTTGTAAATCATTGGCAACTTCTTGAATGCATATTCAAGTAAATAAATAAAGGTTTCAGTGATTTGTATAAATATTGTCAAATCAAAAGGCCAAATATTTATAGATAAACAAAAGTTGGATTTGAAATAAAAAATTGTGCTGGTACAGAGCACAGAATTGCTTAACTAAGAGGTAAATATCTACAAGTTAATACTAGTACATAAATGAAGAGAGATGGGCTCGGTCCAGAAAATATTTTAAACGCTATGCTAGTAAACCAAATGTTCTCATTTGGCTCTCGCAGCATGTGTAGTTGGCAGGTGTAAGTTTGCATTTTCCTGTTTGCCTGAGTGTTTGTGTTGTACATTTCTGCCAGACTGGACCAGATGCAAGCCTCTGGGGGTCCAGCTGCTCCAGCTCCCATGCCTGGATTTTTCCAAGACTACCTTCAACCCTGACAGCATGTGTTGAGTTGTGTTTGTTTGCATATTTATGTATACATACATGTGGGTATGCATGTAAAACAATGTATCTGGTTTTGAAAGTTTTGAAAATTGCAAAGCTTTTGTGTAAAAATAGATTATTTCTAAGGAATATAAATTAAATTATATATTTTTCATTGTCTGTTGAAAACAAACTTCCATTGAAATAAGAATAGGAATTATGGTACCTTTTAGGTGAAAAAGATATAAACTACAGACAGGTAATGCTTGTAAGTGAGTCAACAGTAATGTGTTTTACTGAGACAAGCTTCAGTTGGCAAATTGTAGCTTTTAGGCAAACCTGCAAGACACCGCTGGAGCTACAGGAGAAGAAAATCTATGATAACAGCTCCATGCACTTTGATGGAAAAGAGATCATAGTTGGACATCCTGCTTCCTTCACTGGGAGCCGAGATGCAGCATGAAGGCTATTAAACAAAGAGGCTTGCAGTTGACATGAGTGCAGCAGTGACTAAAATCGTAATGCTTTTAGCTGCAACATTTCAATGCTAATTTAACTGAACATGCAAATTATAAACAGACAGCAAGAAAATCACATAATGAACACTAACAAATCTGCAGAAGGTATCCATGTCCATATGGATTCCTGCACAGAATCAAATTAAGAAACATGTTTATACCAAACTAATGAATGTGATGTCTACAGGTTCACATTTCAGAATTTACCATCCTTTCAGACATTTGTCAACATATAAAACGCATTAGTTCTATTGACTACGTTATGCAGTATTTAATGCAGTACTTATGCAGTACTCAGCTAAATTTAATTTAATCAGTGCTGCTTTTAAACCTTCACTACAATGTTTAACAACTATACCACTGAGGTAACACATGCACAAACTAGCTAAGCCAAACGTCTTTATGTATCTGGCCTAATGTGATATACAGCCACATTTAAGAACTGACTCATGTTTATAAAAAGGCTGTTCAGTTTAAATTCAGATTCCCTCAAGGTTTGGCCTCAGTCTAAAATGGTTTCAAAGATAGTATGTCTAAAAAAACAAACAAATGTGTATTTGATTTTTAACACTATTTGGCAAGGCAAGGCAAGTTTATTTGTATAGCACATTTCGTGTACCTCATTTGGTGCACCTCATTTTTAATGTGTAGTATAATTCAACATATTTATTTAATCAATATGTCATTCTATACAACAAGATTCTTTTAATACCAATTTTCTAAATGCTTAGCTTTGTATTTAAAAAAAAAAGCAATTTAGGTCTTTGTAAAGCCCTGATGCTGCTAAAATAATTTGGTACGACCACTGACATTACTGTAAAAAACTCTACCCCTATGGTAAAGATTTATCAGTTTTTTTTTCATCTGAAATAATTAACGAGCTAATCAAACATAAATGTTCTCATATGTATTAACAATCTTGTAAAGCAACTTTTTTTGTTTAGCTATTAACAAGTCTTTTAACATTAATTACTATCGAAGTGGCACATAAAGTTGACTTAATAGCATTTCATATCGGTCTACTTTCCATTTTGTTTACCTGACTTTGTACCAATATAGGATATGCAGAGAGCAAAAGTCTTATAATCAGAGCACATATTTGCTGTGATTTTTACTTAGTGGTCAAATGAACTAAGAGAATGGATGGATGGATGGATGAAAGGCCTTTGATGCATTACACTTTTTGCATTGGACTTGAAACTATAAAATATTTTTGAGGCACGGTGTGCAGGCTGACAGGCCGTGGACTCAGCCTGAAATGGAAAAAAAAATGCCTGAGGAAATTTCCAATACATGCACCCAGTGATCATATCTAATTGGTATTATTTTACACCAGCTTGGATGACTGTACCCAGTTTTTTAACACTTATTGCACAACCTAGGTTTTTTTCCCTGAGGGATGTCCATGGGTCAAACACAAACAGTTTGACAGCATATCAAATATCTGTGAATTCCACAATGCAAGCCGCTCGATTCTCAAGTGGCAGACGGAATGTATCACCTTTGTAGACAGGCAAAGGTCAGTCTTTTTGAGTAAAAGGAGACTGCACCATTTAATGGCTTCCCTCTGAGCTACGTCCACCTACCCATTGGAAGGTTGGTGTTTCAACTGCAGGCTTTCCTAAGCCACAGGCCAAAGTGTTCTCGGGCAAAACATTACACACATTTCTTACCAGTCCATCTCCAGCATTCTTGTAAGTCACCTTGTATTAAAAGCATAAATGATAAATGTAATTATTGCTAAACATTCACTATCTTTTTCACCACAGCTACAAACAGGCTGCAACATGAATGCATTTATTTGCAAATGTATTTATATTATTTCAAAATGGAAAAAACCTCTGTGTTATTACTTCACATGACCAACCAGTATTGTGGAGAAATAGAACCCTCAGCATCTCTTAGATGCTCTTTCTACATCAGTTTTATGTAAAAACTGTAGCACATTTCCACCAAACATAATTATTCAGAAGGACAGGGTAACATTTATTTTACGATTACATATTTCAATAAAGCTTTTTTCTAATAAGGCTGAAGCATGAAGCAACGTCACTGCGGAAAAAAAAAAAAACTAGAAATATAATCAAAGGATGTTAATTGTTTTAGTTTCCCAGAATGTTTTACTTTTTATGAGTGGATATTTTTGTCAGTGGGCACAATTTTATAATACAATCAACAATTTACATAAAGTTATTCAGTATCTCATTTGCGAAGAAGTTATCGTAAAGCCTACCCTTATCCTCAGTGTGAACATATACAAAGGTTAAGTGGTAAGTCTGAATAGAAGAAGCCATTAAAAAGCAGCAGTGAAGGGAGAGAAAGGCGAAGCAAGACCGGCTGCAGAGAGTGACAGAGACTGAAGACTTCTATTATCAGCGGGGCTTCTTCTAAATGGAACTATCTAGAAGCCTTGTCCCCTCTCCACTCACTGCTGTTAAGCCTTGAGGCAGGAAATGGTGAGAGAAAGGATGGGGGCTGTTAGCAATTTTGATACAGAGAAATACCAGTCAGACAACAAATACTATGCATACCTATGCAAATAACAGACACCACTTAGAATGAGTATTAATAGAAATGGACGTCTACAAATCTACAAAACAAATTATATTCTTTTCTGACTTATAATATATTAGAATGTTGAAAAAATGTAATTGTCCTTTTTATTGTTATAATTACTTTTCTCAACACCCTATAATGATAAATTAAATCAATATTAATCATTTGTAAATTCAATACAAAGATAAATGAGGGTGAAAACACCTGTAGAAAAAGAAAATCTTCAGTAAAAATAAACAAGAAAATAAATCTAGAAAAATAACATGTTACACAAAAACGGTGAACTCTTCCTACAATTGCCAACTCTCGGTTATTGCCCACATGATGTCAAAATGGCAGGATATGATGTTATTCAAGTGAGAAAATGCTAGAATATGAGCGCACATTGGCAACAACCTGCAATAACCCCTTTTGACCCCCGATACTGCCGGATAAAAGGGAGACAAGTATGTTCCTAAAGACTGGTCCATACTTATTTTTGTTATCGAAACCTTCTGAAACACCCCATGTGGTCACCAATCTCCCTCTATCCTCTTGACAACATCTTTGTCCAACACCTCAGTCAAGTATTATTTCTTCGAAAATTGATTTTCTGTCAGGAATAAAAACTGTCTTTATACAAATATATCCCAAAGGTATTATTCTTTTCCCCTTTTTTGTGGATTGATTCAAGTGAGTTGTAATAAAACTGTAAATATCTCTTTAAAAATGTTATATTTTACTGAAAGATATGTGTGTTAGATGCACTACCTTTCTATCTGGCCAGTTATACTTGGCAAAGATGGTATCATATGTATCCACTGCCCCATCTGTCACCAACATAATGGCCTGGCTGCACTCACTACCCCTCCCAGTCTGGTTGAACTGGAGGAAATAGGAAAACAGAGAAAATTAGTCAGATTATATAATATATATATATATATATATAGACACATTCAAATAAAAAAATACATATACTATCTATAAAAATTAGCTTCTACACCCCATGACAGCACTATGGTAAGGAATTTATAATAAAATAAATGCAACATAAATCAACTAACCTAATTTCCAAAGACTAATCATGCAGCATGGTACAGCTGTAAATAACAGCAAACCTTGATAGGAAGATGGTGGGATGATAAATTCTTGAGTCTGTGTGTTTGAGGGCTTTGTATAATGTATGACCGATTAATTTCCTGATATAATGAGGAAATATCATACAAGTAACCTATGACATCAAGGGCTTTGTTTACTTGTTTTTGCATGATTCTGTGCTATTAATTACAACCCTAATTATTGTTATGCAGAAAACTGATGTGGGTGTGGGTTAGTGGGAGTGAGTGATGCTGATCGAACAGCAGCATGCTACTTACGTCACTGAGAAGATTGAAGGCCTCAGTGAGAGCTATGTCCAACATGCCAATGCCTTGAGCAAACAGCTTATCAAGGTGCTCACGAAAATGCTAGGTAAAAATGATGGAGAGAGGTTTACAGTCAGGTTGACAAAAGGACAAAGGTGCAAAACATAGGAATTCCTGGTCTTTGGAGATTCTTGGAAACATAAAAGAAGCACAATTCCCCATGATTCAGTTAAATTATAAATATATAAACTGTTTATATTCCACTTCTGTGAGACCAAAGACTGTGAGACACGTAGATGGACACACAAATGCAAATGATGCCCATTATGGAGTCTGAGCAATTCAAAATATTAAAACCTGATGTAGCATAAATGTTTGTATTGTAAAAAACTAAAGGAAAGAAAAAACGTTTTAGATGTTTAAAATATCAAAAGGTTTTTAAACATCTTGATTCCATAGGCAATGTCAAAGAAAATGAATAAAATACAAGAGATGACTTTCGTGACTAACAATAAAGAAACACAAAAAGCACTTTCATTTTTTAAGGCTTTTGTGTTTTTCTGTCTTTACTCCCCATCCCTTTTTGCTGCTACAGTCATCTTGCTAGTTTTTCAATCTTCTCTAATGGGAGGAAGAAAGTCTCTCTGCACACAGTGGGGGACCCAGAGCAGCATAAGGCCATATGAGTGCTTGCTCACTAGGGAACGAACAAAAATGTGCGCACACACAAGAGGTATGAGCACACGTGTACACAAAAACAACCTCCAGCATCCCTTACAACACCCCCGTATGGCAAAAAGACAACCTTTTCACAGATGTGGTTAAAAGGTTAATCGGTTTGAACAAAAGATGTTACCCTGGAGGACAGCAAACTTTAGCTACTGCCTGTGTGAGTGGCTGAGTGCTTGTGAGTAAAGATCGAAGTGATTTTTCCAAACACAGCAGGCCATGGCGCAGCAGCATACTTAAGGGGCAGATTGAAAATATGTGTGTTTGTGTTTATGAGTCTGAGTGTCTGTGTGATAGCCAAGCTGAATGAGCTCAACCTTTTGTGCTACACCACAAGGCTCCAAAATGTGCAATGGACATTAAATTGTTCAGAGCAGCGAACCTTTTTTCTTCTCAGAAATGATCACAGCAGTCTTCCCAACAAGATCTGGCAATAGGTAGATTAATAATGAACCTGTAGCCTGTTGTAGCCTATATTTTAAATTGTTTAACAAGTTGCAAATCACTTTTAATCAACTTTTATCAATCCAAGTGTTCACTACACTTATCTGTATCAGTGTAGAAGAGTGTTAAGTGTGAATCATTTCCTGCCAAAGTTTAGTGGCTATTTTAGAGCTTTTTAGAGTAGGGCGAAAGCTGAATGTTCAAGATGGGCGCTGGGAAAGGAACAAGAACGAAGACAGCAACAAAATTACACAGGATACAACATGAAATGTTATACAGTTACTTGTCTGGGATTGGTTCATCCCTAGTCCTCTACAGCTGCATCAATCCTGGAGCAGTATTTGCCAGTGGCGTACAAGAGGGCACTTACATTTTTTGTTAGGTTTTGTTGGTTAGATTAGCAATTTGGGTTTCCATCTTTTTGTTTGTTTGATAAAAGACAAATGTTACTTTTTTTGGGAAACCTGACTCCTTATGCTTTCTTTCTGTTACACCTCTTTTTACCCTAGCGAGCTGGGATTGTAGCACTGCTCTATTTAAAGTGTGGTGGAAAAGTAACTAATTTTGGAAGAAAGATCAGTAAGCCTGAGTTTCTAGTGTGACAGCCTTATCCTGACCTGAGTAGAAGTAATAGACATTAGCTTTATCTACCGGTGCAGCCTGCCTTCTCCTCTTAGCTCACTTAAACTACATTAACCTACTATCTGGAATTATACACATCCTTATCCATATGCATAAATTTGGAAACACTAAGAAGTACACAGAAACCAGCTTAACACTAGCTGAGCACACATTGAGAGGGCTCAAGCTGGGAAAATAGTGCATCCATTTGCTGGCAAACATGCCAAATCAAACACCTGCTTAGGCTAACACAGACATGTAAAAATAAATAAACAACAGTCTACATTTTGTGCTTCGGACATCAACACATAATGATGGACATCATGTCACAGTCATTCCAATGATATGTGATTGTGTTATCTAAGTAAACAAAACATGCAATAATACTCCAGAAGGTCTAGAGAGTATGTACAAATAATTGAATGTACACATAATCAAATATAAAGATGTTGTACTTCTCTGATTTGGATTATAGAGTTGTATATCCCTTATTTAATTCTTGTTGGTTTTTTGTGGGGGTTTTTTGTTTGTCCTTTTCTCTTCTTGGTTGAGTATAATAGAGAATCACAGAATGAAAGACTTACATCTTTGTTGGTGACATCTGCTTGAACCAGTGTTCCATTCAGGCATGGTTCCACATAATGTAATTCTTCATTATACTGGAAAATTACAGAGGAATTCATCATAAGTATGATTACTTTTAATATTCTGAATATGATTCACAAATGTTAAAAAACATGGCAAATGTAAAAAAAAAACACACATTTTGAAGATTTTACACAATTGAGTCATCTTGATAAAACGCACAAACATTCACATTCGACCGAACATAATAATCCCAGTGTATGTAATGTCTGCCATTCACTGATAATACTTGCCATTTAATGCATCAGTGTGAATTAAACTTCAAAGCACCAGAAAAACAATGGAAGTGTTTTCTTCAAAAGGCAATTGTCCCCTAATCTGGAACTGTGTTAATGTGTGAAGTCTTTTACTGAGTGTGGGTACACATTGCAGCATACAGGTAGCTCCCACTGCATGAGGCTATTTTCCCGTGTGTGTATAAGTTTGTTCCAACGAAACCTTTGACAAAAAACATGCGTGTGCCTTTTTGATGAGAAGAAGCATGCAAAAGTAACTGTGACATGGTGAAAAAAAGGATTAAAAAGGAAAATGAAGGAGATTTGTGCCACTTTGATACATTCTTTTGAGTGGCTTGGAGACAGAAGTATGTTTCAGCCTGATTGTCAAATTATATTTTCCATTTCAAATAGCCTTGCGTAGGACACATGACATGACCAGAGTGTTCCCTTCCTCATGCTATATGGAAGAATAGTTATAGCCAATGTGGCCCTGAATTGGATGAAGAAGCTTCAGAAAATAAATGCATGGATCAATGGATAGAAATCTGTAATACTATTCTCAGTGTGTTGTGTGATACCAAAAAACTGTATTTGTTGCACAAAAATACTGTAGAGGTAACTTGCTATATTTTATTGTAGTGCACATTGAGTAATCTTAAAGTATCTGGACATTTTAATTTATATTTCAGATTTTCGTTTAACACACGGTGAGCTGCATCAGCCTGAAAAATGCACACAATAGTTTAGAAGCCTGAGGGAGGATAAAAACAAAATGTTCTCTTTTGCATTTTACCATTAATTGGTTGAAAGTGTGACGGAAGAGAAAGCTGACTTGCTACGGCACTTCTTCTCATGTGAAATGGAAAGGATAGATATGAGTGTATATCATTGTCATGTGTCCCTGTATGTGCGTGGAGTAGAGAGCTGAGGCATTTTATGTATCCGTCCAGAACTATGCAGGTATTTGTGTGTACTTACAGCAATTATATTAAAAAAGTCATCATCTCCAAGAGTGTCCAGGATGGATGAAACAGTCTGCCTGGCAATAGTCAGTCTCAGGCCTTTCATGCTCCCACTAACGTCCACCAGAATCACCACGTCCTTCGGAGAAGTAGCAGCCTGGATGTACCACTTACGGTTACGACAGTCAAAGGCTATAACTCCATGTTCGTCTGGCTTCCATTTGATTCCTTTAGTGCATCGCAAATTGAACATAAACAGTTATCTATCATTTTGGGACAGAATATAGGACCAATAAATCTGTTAAGATTAAAGACTTTCCACCACTACTTCTAAATCAGAGCAGAACTCTCAAACATTCATTATTTCTTTTTTTAAACTGCCTCAGTCAGTCAATGTAGCAGTATTTTTCAAAAGCCAGAGCTCACCAATCATAAAATCATTCATCATCCACAGGTAAGTAGACATGCAGAAAAATATTTGATCAGATTTTTCCGCCACCATCACTGAGAAATGCTTTGTGTTTGAGAACACTTAATTTTTTTTTAAGATTCTATTTGCTTCTATGTTGAAAGAATTCAGGTAAAAACATTAAAAGCAGAGGAAGCCCTTAAATAGCCTAAATTGGTCCATTATAAATGTTAAAAGTGGAATAAAGTTAGTGATACTAATAAGTACAATTATAGAACACTAACAGAAAGGTTCAAAAGATAAAATATAACATTTCCATTGATTTTCTCATTTTCTTTCATGTACAGTATGCATTCAACAATTGAATACATTTTCTAATTTCACTCCTTTCATTTCTATTCATTTCACTTCACTTTTGTAAAATGGTTGGCTCTCTCTCGTCATACACTCTCTAATCTTTACAAACTCCCCCCATTTCTCTCCTTATCCCTTCTCTCCTCTTCTATCTCCTCTCCCACTCTACTAGCCTTGAGTCAGAATCTGTCAGTCACTGAGGTTCCTACACACCTGCCACTCGGCTTTAACATGGCAGGGACTTAATTACAAGCAGAGTCTCTCAGTGTCACACACACCCACCCTTCCGACACACACTTACCCGGGTATTGCCTGAAGAAGCCTTTGGCACTGCCGAAGTATTGCCATATGAGAGAGGGGTCTCTCTCATAGTTATCCACAAACACTTTGTTCAGGGCTTCAGACCAAAACACTCCATTCACAATTGCAGAATCTAAAGAATAAAGAACCAATAGAAAGGCAGAGACAGACATGCAGAATTTAAAAGGTTAAAATCTGTTTTCACAGCTCAAGAGGTTTGAGAGGGTGTTCTCTAGTATCTGCTCATTGAGTCGTATCAAATCACACATTGCAAGTCTACAGATCTGTATCAAGAGCTATTCATTACAAAAAGATACTGAGAGTATGCACAAAAACTGAGTGAAAAGAGGAGAGGGGAAAAGCCATTAGAGAACCAGAGAGCAGGAACCAGGACAGACAAAGGTTAATAACTACAATGCATAGCAAGTAAAAAACTGACAAAAGAAATTAATCTCAATATGCATGACTCTTGTTCTCTGTGCAATAATAGGTAATAGAAATGCATCTTTTTGGCATATTTTAAAATTTTGTCCCTGTGTAGCTTTCTGATAACTGGCAACCCGTCCAGTTTTATCCACCTCTCAACCAAAGAATGATAGAGATAGAAATACAAGTTAGGATGTTTTTCAGAGTAATTGAAAAGAGCTTCGTTAGAAACCAGAGGTTGACATATCACATTAATGCACACTTTCTGTTTAAGATTTTAGAGTCTTACAAAACAGAAAGAAATGTGTGAATGAAATCTGCCTTATTGGCATTTTGTCTTGGTAGAGGATAGGAAGGAAGCAAAATGGATGCAAATGTGAGATGGCAAGGTGATGATGGTTAGCCAAACACCCACAATTCCGTGCCAAAAGCCCTTATTATAGACAATAAAAAGTTAATGCACTGAAATTATACAAATTTCAGTGTAATTTGGCGTGATTTCTTTTTTAAATTAAAGCCATCTTTCTTTTGTATTCATGGTATATTAAGGTATACAGTATTTGCGTGAAAATTAATCTCCCTGACATTTTGTTTCCATAATTGTTGCCTTTGTATCTTTGCATCTTTTTCAGGACAGCATGGCTTTGTGTGGAAATACTGCACTATACAGTGTATATCTGATTTTACACCCATTATAGTCCCCTCCAAAGTGATTCTATATAGGCTATAAGATTTAGCATATCCAATTATGAAAAAATCTTTTCAATTTTCAGGCCACGGGAGTTATGAATGTAGTGGTGAATGACCAGATAGTCATGCTTATTACTACTGCTTACTATATGGTTTAGAATCAGGGCAGGAAGGATGTTAGTATACAGGGATGAAAAAACACACAACCATACAGCATGACAGATACATAATGCCCTTTATAGAAAAAGAAAAAGCCAGCCAGGAAGACAGACAGACTGATGAGTGTAAAAATGACTGGAAGACAGACACACACACATGGACAGAAGGAAAAGTAGATGACAGATTTCCCATCATCTCCTGTGCTGGTAACATTGTTCTGCTGTCAACAGTCATGCCAATAAGCCATGATTGAATTATGCCTGTGGAAGCTTGCACACAAAAGCCTCTCTTGATAGTAAATACCCATCCACCTCTATGGAGTGGAGTGGAGAGCTGGCTGGTTTAGATCCAGAATCCATTTACACAACAATACAGTCACCTCTGGTGCAGACTGAGAGTTTATAATAAACTGAACTCATCATAATGAGTGAGCTAGTATGGGCTCTAGAGTCCCTATAAGGTGTGATGTATTTCTATTTCAACTAATACACTCCTTTGTGTGCTGATCAATGGTAGCAGCTATCTTTCAGATATACTTAAACTCAGGTTCAGCAATCTGAGGAGCTATTGAGTTAGGTCAAGACTCAACTTATGGCAATATTCAAATTTATACAGCGGAGAAACAAAAGAAACATGAAAGAAAAGAAAAGAAAGATGAAAGCTTAGTGAGGAATTCTTCTGCAATTATTCTGGATGGGTCACAAAATAACTTTTAGTCAAAGAGTTACAGTTAGTCACTAGTGAAACTGAACGATCTTTTTATAAGATTTATGAGAGCGTTAAAATTATAGAAACTGGGTTGATGTGAGGGGTAAAAATGTAGGCTTCATGGAAGAGTGTTAATGCAGTCAGGTGAAAGATCAAAATAATTATCAATAACAAAAGCAAAGATCCTACAATGTTTCCAACTCATTTTACCAGACATGTGTCCGGTCCAGGCCCTTAGAAACCAACTAAACTTATCACCATACAAGCATTACGCTCAATCTAAAGTCACCAGTAAACCAAACTTGTTTAACGTGGCACAGTGTTTTGCAGTGAATCTAACATTATTTCTAAGTCATCGGAGAATCATAGCATCACATTCCCATTTCAGTTTTCATCTACTCAGACCCAGATTTAAAATGCTTTTGCACTCAGAGCTCTCATAGTTTTATTGATATTACCAAGGTGGCCATGCTGTTTTTGTATTGTGCTCTATTTGTGGAAATAACGGGCAATTCGTTAGTTTTGAGGCGTTTGTCCAGTTGCCTGGAAACTGACCCAGTCATAATAACTTTTTTTTATTTTTTGTCTTGCACACTATAATTTACCTCACTCTTTTTTTTTTATTTGGCGGCATCCCTTAGACTTATTCTCCTTTTTCTTCTGCAGTCCTGTCTTCTCTTTTTTAAACTTTTTTATTCTCACTATCTCTGGTAACTGTTGATGCAAGAAGCTTGTACAAACTAGAAAAGGTAATGGATGGAAAAGTCCTGGAGAGAGAGCCTCAGAAATGTATATTCATCATAGCTTCTTATTCTGTTGTAGACAATTTAAACAGACCTCCTCCAGGGGAAGTGGAGCTGGAAAAGAGTTTAATGCCACAAGCCTATGACAATGAGGAGGAAGTGAGCTTGTATGGGTCCTATTGTGGTCTTTTCTGAAGTCATGATACTGAAATTATATTTACAAGAGGCTTGAAAAACATTTTTTGGGTTCATTAACTTCTGTCGAGGGAGCGTGAAACCTTAAAAAGAAAAAGTTCAAACAGTTTTAACCCCAGTTTATTTTTTCTATCCATCCACCCTAACCATAAAATGACACATGAACGTTTTCTGCAGTAACCATATGAAGAGGTTTAATTCTCTTGATTATTTTGTGAAACAAATCCGTTTCTCTGAAGGAGGCATCTTCAGTTTCAGTATTTCATCCAAATGAGAAGCTATACACTCTCAGTCCCAAATCAATGGAAAATAGCAGCATGTGTTTTGTCAGAAGCTGGAGACACCAGAACATGGAATATGGGGTGGGAGAGAGAGGATTCACCTTAGGTGTGGACCAGGTTCTCCTGACCACAACACAGGTTGTGGTCAGCTTCCATTTGCAGCCGTCTGGACCATTCAATTTGCATAGGCTTAGAAGGATTAATGTTAGCAAGAGCTGCCAATTGAAGATTGTTTACAAATGAATGTGGAACTGACTTGTATGTGGGTTTGAATTTGATTCCTGAGAAGCCTCTCTCTCAATTGCTTGTGGATGCAGGAAGTAACATCCACTTGACAATTGAGGTCCTCCAAGGGTTCCGGTGACTCATTTATCTTTGGTTTATCTTTCTGGACAACCCTTCATTAAATGCTTAAATTAATGTAGAGGCTCTCAAGGTGCTTTCTACCGTGACTTTACAGATATCAATAATATGATCTATAACTGCTAGCCAGCGTGAGTAAAAACAAGATTCTGAAAGCTCTTGGGCCTCTTCTCTGTTCTATGCTTCTCCATAGCTTTGCTCTTCCGCTGAGTATGAAGACAACATATATTACCTTAACATTCCAGTAAGAAAAACGTGTTGGTTGTAGCTTAAAGCTCTGTGAATCCCTTGAATTTTGCATTGAGCAGAGTGTCAAAAAGGCTCGACACTGACCTGGTTCTCATCTATATATTTCAGGGGGTCTCATCTCAAGCTCATTTTCCAAAGAGGTGGTGTGAGGGGCTGCAGGGCTGAAAAAATGTTGTTGGCAGGCACTATGACAGGAGGCTTGAATTTGGTTATTTCTGAAGGATGCTTTGTAACACCCTTTATTCCAATTCTTAGTTCGAACACATCCACCTCTTATTGCACTACTGGAGCCTCAAACCTGGAGGCCAGTCCTGGGATTCTGATGGGTGCGTAGTGCAGCAGGAGCACACTGTTATAAGTTCCAAGTCTGCCTATTCAAGCTAAGACTGCTTTTAAAAAGTCAAAGTAGGCGTTAAAGACTGTAACAGCAAGCTAAGGCACGTTGAGTCTATGTAAAAAATATCTGATGATCATGCTAAGAAGGGAACAGCACATGTGAACATATGATAAACAGAACAGGACAGGAACCAGATACCTTCAAAGACAGTTTAGAAAACTCGATAATTTCATAATATTGAAAAAATGATAATTTTGTCATGAAGAATATCAAGTAATTACAAATTATTGCGAGCACTGTTTGCAATTTGAAAAACGCTTACAAATCATTTGAATATAATTTGAGTTTGTCTTCCAAAAGCAGTTTGTCTCCATCCTAATACAAAACAGTAAAATTTTGCATCCCAACAGATCCCAGTCAACATATCCATTTCTTGCAGAAACTTCAAACTCTGAATGTCTGTGCTTGTGCGTTGTGGAGTAAGATTACGTGAATCTAGCCATCCTCTCTTTGAACCAGTAGGCCAGCTTTCCGACCTAACTCTCCATTCACTTTCATTCATTTTGTTTCATTCACTTTCCTCCTGTCACTCACTCGTTTTTCACTTAATTTTTGTACGTAGCTGCAATTAATCTGTTGCTCAGACGCGCCATCAATCTGACTTAACCCACTTTCTTCCTCATTTACTTCTTCGCTATTCTCTCGCCGCTCCACATCCTCTCTGTGCCTGTGCTAGCTGGGTTAAGCTGACATGACATTCACTCTGTCCAGAGAGCATTGTATAAGGCCTCAACTTCTCTAGTTGGATTTAAGTAAATCAGGAGAAGTCTAATTATTTAAGGTCTAATTAAGTCAATGTGCGGTAAGGATCATCCAAGAGTTACAATTAATTAAGTCAAATCCATCTCCTTTTCAGCCATACATGAATGTGCAATAAACCACAGATGTTCTGTTTGTTTTATTGTAGTTCAATTTTGGGCTTGTATTTTGTCTTTTTCTAGTTAAACTCCATTGTTTAGATAGAATTTTCATATAGTAAATTAAACTTATGTCTATCAAAAATTCTGCGCTCACATCTCCTTCAAACTTGGATTGATTTGGTGAAGTAACAGAGGAGCAAGAAGTTTTAGTTTTGGAAGTAAAGTGGCGCCTCATAACAGCTGCAGGTGAGATAAATATAAAGGGGGAAAGGGGTTAGTATGGTGCTTATCTACCGACTTAACTGAATCAAATCCTGTTTGGAATGTTTAGGCCATTCCAAAATGTAATATCGATAAAAGGGCAATACTTTTTTTTTAATGGTATTTGGGATGCTTCACTGTTATGCTACTTCTTTACTCAAAGCTGATCATGACAAGGTTGAGAATCTGATTGAGTTTATAGCGAGAGGACTCATAGCATCTATAAACATTACAACTTTATTTAGCCAAGCAATTTTCATGAATCTATACTTTCTCTCTTACTAATTTGGAGCAAATAAACTTGAAAATATACTTTTGCCAGTAGGTGGTGGTATAAGTTTCAACTGGTCAAAATACATAAGGTATAGAATTTCTTTAAGAATTAATATTTCCCCCGAAAATATCTAGGATTTTTTTCTAGGAAATTACACTGTTTAATGTGCCAATGTGTCAATATGAATCTCCACGCCAATTTGCTCTCCATCTTAAAACGTGTATTAACTCTTTTTCAAAAACAGTTGTCTTGCTTATCACAGAAACCTTGCTGAATTTGTTGTAGTTCACATGTATACATATACCCTAATATGATGGACCTACCTTTGTTGTACATGTTTGTAGGCACCTGGACCACACTGAGGCCAAGGTTGACCGACAGATTGTTAAAATGATCATTGGGTTGCAGGACAAACTCTCCTCCCAGCTCTACTTTGTTGCCTTTCTCATCAACCTCATTGATCAGGACCGCATTGAAGTATTCATACTGAGGGGGAAAAAGGCAGAAAGAGAAAATGGAATAGTTAAGTTTACTGAAACCATCAATCAGAATCAAGCGTCTCTATCTCAATATATTCCATATGCTGAGTCACGCTGTCAATGGTCACTCAAATGCTGAGTCAGAATGGTTTGCATACTGAGGTAACCTGAATCCTTAGATCATCCCAGGATGTGTGGGTTGTAACAGAAGAAAGCTGCTGAGTGGACAAACCTCACCTCAAGCTTCTGCAGACTTATTTTTTGCTGCATGAGATGCTCTGGCTCAAAGTATTTTTAGTACTGCGCATACTGGAAAAAGTATTAATAAATCATAAAGCTAGACAAATATAGAGCATATGACTCTCCGCATCTCAAAAGGTTCTGAAGATAACATAAAGGGGCAAGGTCTTCAATATCACAACTTATACAAACAGGTGAAGATACTCAAGTAAAAGAAATAATACAAGGCGCAATTTAGAGTCACCAGTTAAAGTAACATTCATGTTGTTGTCTGAACAAACTCCATAGAAAGACTGAAATGAAAGACACGTTCATCCCACCACTAATGTTTGCCATTTTAGCACCAATAACCTTCAGTTGGGTGAATCCTCACTGGTTCTCATGAGAAGCACCACCATCCCTTCAGCACAAAGCAAAACACAGATAAAGCCATCAATTAGGCTAGTAAGCTTAGTGCCTATCAATGCAATTAATCAGGCCTGATTAGAGTCAATAGCCTTTTATCAAAGGGAACACTGCCATTTCAAGGTGAGAGAGTACAATGTTGTGTATTTCTGCCTGTATTTTAATAAATTTTTCTATCCTCATGTGGAAACAAAACATTGTAAACGTATTCTTTGCTTTTAGGTAATAAAGCAGGAATGGGAAAACTGTTAAATAGTACAGGGCGATATTTTATTTTTATTTTCCATCAGGATTTAGCTGTGTCATTGTGTAACATTAAATGCAACTTTCCCATTTTAGGTCTTGACCTGACGATTTAAACAATATGTAAAAACGATAACAAAGTGGGTGAGAACACCCTTTGCCCAGAGTTTACCGTTTGTGAATTTGCTTACCAGTGGTCAAGGAACAAATGTTCATCATCTTACCACACCTAATTTAGGAGTCATTTATACAAACAAACTGTACAGATGATGAACAATGCAAATTCCGGTTATCCATTTGTGTTTTTGCAGGGTTGTAGTACCTGGATACTTATGGCTTTCAATGATAAAAGACCCATTTCCATACTTTCAATGCAAAAAACAGGTATATATGGAAGATAGAAAAAGGCACTTAATCAGTCCGGTGGAAAGCCAGAAGAATAATGGTCTTAAATTGAACAGTAGCTCAAATACCTCAAATTTGGCCAATATCTATTAAACTGTTTTTCTTAGAATAACATCATCTAATCTATCACCATGCCTCCCTACAATCATGCCATTACAAATGTTTAACAATAACCTGCTGCAGGCGTTGTCACACTTGTATTTAAAAATGTATTTCATTATTTAATTTGATACAAACTTCTACAATGTCACCTGAACTCACTGTCAAGACATATTACTGACATATAATGTCATTATTTCTGTGCCATTTGACTGAATTTATTGCTGGTTCACTTGGAAGTTGGACGGTTGTTGGACGGGGTCCCTCTCTTTTGATTCAAATAGCATTTTTCTAATGACAGCATGTTGCTAAATTTTCAAGACTGAAACACAACAATTAGATTTCTCTTTTTTTTAAACAGTTGAAGATGTGTGCATTTTACGGTCTGTCACTGTACACTATTGTTCAAAGAGAAGACACATCAGCAGAGAAGCTTTTAAAAAAAATTACATCAAGAGTGACACAAACAGGTTAACGTCTCTGTTATTAAACTGATTTACATTCACAGCACATGGCTTTTAATTTAAATTCAAAATAAGTTTTTGAGTTTCCACAGTGTGGGTGTGAGTGTGGGTGTAAAAACACTGGCAGAGGGAAACCAGGATGTATGTGCATGTCTGTGTTTATGCAGGTTTCCGAGCATCATTCAAGGCTCTGTTCAAATGTGGGTGTATGTGCTGAGTGTGTAAATTATACCATTCCAGCATTACAGTGAAGGAGTACCCACTGCCACTAATGCAGTCCCCGATCATGGTGTTAACAACCTGATCTTTAACGCTACAGTGCATTAAGCTGAGAGATTGCACATGTACCATCAACACCCACTCACTTTGCTTGGGTGAGGCGAAGAGGCATTTATAAAAGATACAAAGTTTTGAAAATATCAGCTGTCTTTTTCGAAAATCAAGCAAGTTTCGATTAATTTGTGAAGACTTAATTCATTTCTAAAGACATTCAATTTGAGCTGTTTAACAAGTATGCAAATTAAATCGAAGTTGGTTAATAAAACATGACATATTCAGTGTTGACAATCATGGAATAAAGAAAACCAAGACATTCAGTTTGTTCACTTATTCAAACAACCAATTGCCAAATCTTATTAAAGTAAATTATAATATATTAATACACAATCATTTTTCACAATAATTTGCACAGTTATTTCCATGAATTATTTAACTTTTTTACTTGATGTGTTTTGACAGTACACCTTTCATATATTTCCATCAATTTCAGATCAGTTTTGCTATTGTGTGAAATGTTAAAGCTCCACAGCCTAAAGTTCACACCAAAAGGGACCTATTCTGTAGTTTAGAAAATGTGGCAACTTAACGCTATATTTTTCAGACTTTTCTGTGTCCAAAGCATCATGCATTTAAGCAGGACAAATCTAAGATGAAGTCTGACCAACCTAAAATAAGGAAAACTGAATTTCATCCTTTAAACCAACCACAGACCATAACTCTAAAATTGAGCAGGAAAAACGTTGGATGGACAAACTACTAAATTGTTCGAAATTGTAGGAACCTGAAGACAGAAATGTGAAGAAAAAAAAACATCCTGAGAACTGCTGACAAACTTTATGTGGTGCTTTTCTGTAGTATTATGTTTGCTTCTGCTGTTGTAACTCCGAATAGTCAGAAGTGTTCCTTTTTAATAAAAATGAAAAAAGGCTCTTCCTGGATTTTGGCAATCCGTTATAAACACCCCCATGCAGCTTGTTATCTTAAGCTCACATAGTTTATGAGAGAAATGGCCCACATATGATTCTTTTTTTTAAAGAGAGAAAAGAATAAATAAATAAACACCCATTGTTGATTGGGACAAATATTCCTGCTCTGTGGAGCAACACAGTGGATCAACAGCCTCGAGGGGAAAAAAAGGATTGAGAGTCAGGAGAGACACCACATGTGGAACAGGATAGTTTTACCATGAAGCTCCACTCTTTGGTGCCAACTTTAAACTCTAATCTCCTCTTAGACTTTACACTTCCCTCACCTACTTTAATACTCCCTTTTTCCACAGCTGTTAAAGGGTAAGACACCACTTTTCGAGTGTGGAAATGTGACTGGAAAACAACCAGGGGGCATGGATGTAGGTAATCAGTGGGGAAACGAGGCAGTAGACTGGGTAAATAACTTGGAGGAAGGGCCAAGTAATGGTTCATGTGCCTCACTTAAAATCTGACTTCATGCGTCTTAGATTTTGGGTCCTCTGACTCTGGGGAATACATTTGTAATAGTCTAAAGCAGTCATTCCAGACTTTAATCAACGGACACACAGTAAGTACATCACAACAACCTTGGAGTACTTTTGAACTCAAACAGTTCAGATTTAACTTCACTCAATGCTACCGTGAAACTGAAGAAGGAAATTCAAGTATAGAAAGTTGACATTTTTGCAAGTGGTTTAACAACTATTATTCATAAGTTTTGCTGCACTATTTGGTGTCATGCTAAACAGGATTGTTTCATTAATTTGGGACTAACCATGTTCATGCGAGTGAAAGTTAATAATTATTCCAAATAAATGAACATTTTACATGTTTTTCACTGTACAGTCCAACATGTCTACTATTCTTTTAGGATTTGAAAGGCCCCCACGTCTATCCTGCCTACATGAGCAGGACTCGTATTTGTAGTTTAACAGTTTTTTTTCCTATTCTGAATAAGTCTTTTTTGTTCTATAGTTATGTTTAAGTTGGTAGATTTTTGTACACTGATTATAAATAATTCATGTGACAGCTTAATAACTAGGTATTAATTCTATCTTTTTTTTCTATCTTTTTTTTTTAAATACCCAGAGCCCAGGGGTGTAATTAGTTCACAACTTCACCAACTTTCAACTTGACACTGGTAGAAATGTTTTATTTTTTGGGGGGGGGATCAATGACTTAATTTTTACGTAATTAATACTGAGAAAGTGAACACAGTGTGTGGAAATACATTTGTTTAATCCCTCAATAACTGACTCACCATTTTAAAAGCCTTTTCAGAGGCCTTTCAATATCACTCACTCTGGAGCACATTGTGCCTCTGCGGGAAGTCTGCTTTAAACCACTTTCTCTGTTGACAATTGTACTTTCGAATGCAGATTGGCAAGCAAGTGAGATATAATGTGTGTGTAGTGTAATTGTGCATTATGCATTTGACTGTCAAAACTCATTTTTGAACTAAAGTAAAAAAAAATCCAGTGTTCACTGAGCCAGTAGATGAAATGTATACACCTGCACACTCTCAGGTGGAACCATTTTGTTGAGTGGTCAGAACAATAAACTGACAGAAGCATGTGGTTACTTTGGTGCACTTTACGACTTATCCTAGTCAGGAAAGTCTGATGAAAAAAAAATTAAAAAATGAATGATAAAGTATTTCTGTCACTACACCCTCCAGACAGGGGCTGTATATTCAGTCAACATTAGTCCTGGAAAACAGCTGTTTGTCTCCAACCTCAAAGGAAGGATTTCATTGGCTACATAGGGCATGGGAGACTGCTCTCTGCCTTCCTATTTACAGCACATGAGCATTGCGGGTGAAAGAGAGAGGGAGGAAAATCGCAGCAGATTACCGTGCCAATTTCACATGGAAGCAGAGGGGCTCTGGAAAGGATAGATAAGGA